TCAGGTACCCTAAATCAAGGAATTGATGTACCTCATAGGTACCCTAAAATGGGTGACTGAAGTGGTTGTAGTCTCAAAAAAGCAGACACTACAACTTTTGTAGTCTTGAAAAGCAGACAATACAAACTTTTGTAGTCTCAAATAGCAGACACTACAAACTTTTGTAGTCCAAAAAAAGGGGACACTACAACTTTTGTAGTCTCAAATAGCAGACAATAGAAACTTCTGTAGTCTAACCAAAGGGGACACTAGAAACTTATGTTAGTAAAATTTGTAGTCTATTTCTGACATTTTGTCATCTTTTGTATCCTAAATCAAGGAATTGATGTACCTCATAGGTACCCTAAAATGGGTGACTGAAGTGGTTGTAGTCTCAAAAAAGCAGACACTACAACTTTTGTAGTCCAAAAAAAGGGGACACTACAACTTTTGTAGTCTCAAATAGCAGACAATAGAAACTTTTGTAGTCTAAAAAAAGGGGACACTAGAAACTTCTGTAGTCTAACCAAAGGGACACTAGAAACTTATGTTAGCAAAATTTGTAGTCTATTTCCGACATTTTGTCATCTTTTGTAGTCTTTTAGTAAATTGTATAGTCTATTAGTAAACTTTAAACTTTGTAAGGTATGTCCAACTTTTGTAGTCTTTTGTAGTCTATCAGTGGTCCTTATAGTCTATGTCAGACTTTTTGTAGCCATGTCAATTTCCCTTTTGAGGTATGCACCTTCCTTTGTGGCACAATTTTCCCATGATATGATAATTGTAGCCTCTTCTCTTGGATTTCTAAATGTGTTGAAATCATCTTGTTTGGTTTTGTTTTCATGGAGAAAAATGCAAAAAAAAAAAAAAAAAAAGCTGGCGATGAGAAAAATATTTTACCTCATATCTCTACAATGAAAGCACTTTACAACATAATTTAAACAGATTCAGGAAGCTACAGTGCAGGACTACAATTTTTGTTTTTAACCATTTTAGGCAATTGGTCATGTGACCATTCTCCTGATGACCCACCTGACAGCAGCCAATGAAAAGGGCTGGCCTGCAATGAAAAGTGGTCAATGAGAAAGGCTGGCCTGCAATGAAAAGTAGCCAATGAAAATCCTAGAGAGCAATGAAAAGCTACCAATGAAATATCCTGGCCTGCAATGAAAAGCACCCAATGAAAATGCCAGCAGCAATGAAAAGTGGTCAATGAAAATGGCTGGACTGCAATGAAAAGCAGTTAATGATAAGTTGTGACCTGCAATGAAAAGTTATTGAAATGCACAAGGCCTCTTATGAAAAAAATCCTTATCATAAAAGGGCCTGGGATATATATGATATACTTTTCATAAAAGTATGTGGAGCTATGCACAAGGCCTTCCTGGCCTAGGCCATGGTTTTATGATAAAATACAGTAAGGACCAGTGGATTTCGCGGTTACATGACTGGTCGAAGTAGGAGGCACCGTGAAAGTCCCTATAGGACTTTCCAACCTTGGTTACAAATACTTCTCCATTCACGTTTTGCTCTGCCCACTTTGCCCATTTCCCTCCTATAGGACGCATAACGGGGGGAGGACGAATCCATGGCACTCGATGCGGATCGATTTCCACCATGTCAAGAGGTTTGGCCCCACAGTTGGAGAAGTCGAGTTCCGAGAAGGGTGAGGTAGAGGTCGAGGCCGGCCGAACATTCTGGTCAGCTAGAGGGCTTGCAGTATATGCGACAGGAGCCAGTCCACCTCTCAACCATTCTCTGTGGACCAATGAGAATGAAGCAGCCAGGGATTCTGGCAGGTCAGAGGGTTCTTCATTTCCTATGTTGTCATCGTTATCGGATTCCGTGATTATCACTTGTTGTCTACGTAGGAAGGCTTCAATATGACGATTGTGGGGGTGACTCAATTTTTCGATGGGGGTGCTCTGAATGAACGTAGTGTCCCTCCATCAGTACTTTACACTCCCACTGCTTGTCCAACAGACTCCGATGGACTTTCATCAGACCCTGCCATTTCCGATGGACTCAGTGGACAGTCCGTTGGAAGACCGTCGGAGTCTGTTGGACATGACTGGATTCCGCTGCAAGTCCAGGCAAAGTCCAGTGAAAGTCCACTCAAACTACTTAGAAGCAAGAAATGGTTGGACTGGCCAGAATTCTGTGTCTGTTGGACGTCCGCTGGACTTCCGTCGGATTTCCAACGGACAGAGGCAGAAACCATCATAATTGCTAAGTTCTCAGTCTGCTGGACTTCCACTGGACTTCCAATGGACTTTCAATGGACTTCTAAGCAAAAAAGGCACAACTTCCAACAGACTTTCAGTGTCCAGTCTGCAATTCTTATAAGTAAATCTAAACAAGTCAGGCCCTGGTCAGACCTTATGCTAAATTCCTTAAGACATCAAGGTTTCAAAAACAAAGTATATTTTATACCTACATAAATTTATTTTACTACATTCTATGTTACAGAGAAGGGGGAGGGGGTGGTGATCAGAAAGGGAGGGGGGAGGGACAAAAAGTGAGGGGGAAGGGACAAAAAGTGAGGGGGAAGGGACAAAAAGTAAGGGGGGAGGAACAGAAAGGGAGGGGGGAGGGAATGGTAAGCAGCAAGGGAGGAGGGAGTAAGGGAGGAGGAGGGAGTGGGGAGCAGCAAGGGAGGAGGAGGGAGTGGGGAGCAGCAAGGGAGGAGGAGGGAGCAAGGGAGGAGGAGGGAGCAAGGGAGGAGGAGGGAGCAAGGGAGGAGGGAGCAAGGGTGGGGAGTAAGGGTGGGGAGTAAGGGTGGGGGGAGGGAGTGGTGAGTAATGGTGAGGGGATGGAATGGTGAGTAATGGAGGGGGGAGGGGATGGTGGTGCTGGGCCCTCATCCTTGTTCGCGCGTGGTCATTGGCGCGCATCGTTGACGCGTTATTGCGTCGCGTCGTGTCGGCGTCCTCGCGTCGCGTCGCGCCGTCCTCGCGTCGTGTCATGTCGCCGTCCTCGCGTCGTGTCGTGTTGCCGTCCTCGCGTCGCGTCGTGTCGCCATCCTCATGTCGCGTGTTTTGTCGTCGTCCTCGTGTGTTGTGTCATCGTCATCGTGTCGTCGTCGCGTCGTCATCATCGTGTCGTCGTCCGTCCTGTCGCCGTTGCGCATCGTTGTTGCCTTTCGTTCTCCTTGGGCGTTGTCGTCACCTCGTTGTTGTCTCGTCGGCGGGCGTTGTCGACACGTCATCGTGTCGTCGTTGTCATCGTGTTGTCGTGTTGTCCGCGTTGCGCGTCGTTCACACGTCGTGTCATCGTCGTCGTCGTGTCGTCGTGTCGTCGTGTCGTCGTCGTGTCGTCGTCGTCGTGTCGTCGTGTTGTTGTGTCGTCGTGCCATCCGCGTCGCGTGTCGTGTCATCGTGGGTCGGTGGGCTGTCGTTGCTGGGGATGGATGTGGTTGAGGACAAGCGACGTGGGATCGTTGATGGCGAAATGATGCATCGGCGTTTGCCGATGACCGTTTTAGGAAAGCGGTCAAACAGTAGGTATGTATAGTACAAAGTACTTACTTATATCAAAGGCTCCTTGGTGCAGCTGGTTTAGCATTGGGTTCCATATGCTTCAGATCCTAAGGTTGAGTGTTCAATTCCCCAATGTTGCATTTTTTTAATGTTATATATTAATAATAATAACAACAGTCTGTTGGAATTCCGTTGGACTTCTGTTGGATTTGTCCACTGGAATTCCGTTGGCACTTGCTCGTCATTTCCAGTGGACTGGGTGCTAGTTTGCTGTTAGTCCATTGGAAGTCCGTCAGAAAAGTCCAACCAAAAATGCTCGGAAAAGCTTAGGACATTCACTGGAAAATTTGCTGCATTTCAAAGCAGAAAAATATCTGTTCTGCATACCCTCAGTCCGACAGAGTCCAGCCAGAGTCCGCTCGGAAAAGCAGTGGCAGCATAAAGACCTCCCCTCCGTCCATACCCCGCATTGAACAGGCGATCCAACTTGTCTCCCCTTAGCTTATGAGATATGAAGCAGGGGATATGGTGCGCCAAGAACAAGTCGATGTCCTCCTCATACTCGCCATTGATCCAAACACCCATGTAGGACTCATCTGCCATGTCAGGGATCCTATTCGACGTCCGGGACCAAGATGGTGTGGCCTGTTGCTGCTCTACCCAATCTATCCACGCGGCCTTCAGCTTGAACTTTCTCTGTAGCTGGGTTACGTTGTCCAGAGCTTTGTCAAAAGAGCGTATGGAATGAAGGTCATTGATGTCGTCTCTACTGAAAGTGGGATTATAGCGCTGCCATGCATCCTCTAAAGCAGTGGAGAGATTGCGACGACTGTTGGCCCTAAGCTCATCGATGCGGGCATCTAGGCAGTCATTTCATTGCAGCAACTCTTGGATGTACTGCGGGCAGACGGAACTACGCTGGTCTGTGACATCCAGGATGCAGGCGAACTCTGGATACCCAGTTGGTGAAGGAGGAGCCTGCCGAATGTAGGGTGCCCAGATTGGGTTCCCTGTGGGATACTGCGGGGACATGCAAGCATCAAACCTTCCCAGATGGCCATCACTTCATCGGTCAGAACGACGGCTAGCCAGGTCGACTTGGAAGTGGTCCTCTAGTAAACCGGGTGAGAAAGGGAGCTGCAGGGAGTTCGGAGACCACAACTCCCAAGCGTCTTCCCCTATCTGCACGATATGATGGGATTGGATCTCAAATGTCGGCAAGCAAGCTATCATCCAGGAGTCAACGCATGGTTTAGCTAGGTAGCCGGTTGCGCTGGACCTCCTTGTGGATGTTACTCGTGAATCAGGAGTAGGGCGGTAGTTCGAGGAGGAGGCGTACATAGTAGTAGAGTAAGTACGGTGTTAGGATGTTTTTCTTAAAAGAGTGTGAGGGTAGTGTTCAATGCAGAACGAGCCATGCGAGGGTTACAATGATTAGTTCAACGCAGTGGGTATCGCGCGATAATAAAAGAAAATAAAGGGATGTAATAATTAGTTCAACGCAGTGGCGACCGTGCGATGATAGAAGGTGATGGAGGTAAAGCAGGAAGAAGGTGAAGGTTGAAAATTGTTATCCATCGATCAATCACCAAACAAGTATAAATGGCAGTAGGTAGCAGATTAGTCATTGAGCATCAAAGATTATGGGCTCGTATATACACCCTTGTAAGCTCAGGAGCATTATGAAGATCATACTCTGATACCCAAGTATCGTCGACTGGCTCATGCCCTTTCCAATGAACTAGATACATCCGGCAATTGCCCTGCTTCTGTGTAGTTAGGTGATGGCCAACAATGGATTCCACTTCGTATTCCGGGTGAGGGATTAACTCTCTGGTGCTAGGTAGTGAATCTCTTCCTTTGAACCGTTTGGGTGAGGAATGGTATTTCTTGAGATGTTTGATGTTGAATACAGGGTGCATTGGATAATTGGGAGGAAGCTTTAAGTGGTACACCTGAGGGTTCACTTGTTCTAAGACTTCAAAAGGTCCGATGGTTCTTTGCACAAGCTTCCGGCCAGTGCCCTTAACGTCTACGAGCTTGAGAGTGTGTGGGTTAACCAGGACCAGGTCACCCTTTTGGAGCATCTCCGCAGGTCTTCTGCCTTTGTTGTAAGCTGTCGCTTGTCTTTCTTGCGCCAGTACTAGCACATCTCTGGCAAGGGAGCAGTGGAATTCTAGTTCACCTATAAATTCCTCCGCCAACTGGCTAGCAACGAATGGTCAGGAGACTGGGTCACCTTCAGGGGTCATTCCGATGGTTGAAGTTCGAGGCTTGTATCCCATTAGTAAGAACTGCGGCGTATAACCCGTGGAAGAGTGTGTTGAACTATTGTAGGAATAATTTAATACACTGAGCCATTTAGCCCAAGAGGTGCGGTCCGAAGTGACGTATGCCCTCAGCATTTGTTCTATAATGGCATTAAGGATCTCCGTCTGCCCATCCATCTGGGGGTGGTGTGAGGAAGATAGGGCCATGACACTGCCGTAATTCGCAACCACGGATTTCCAGAACACAGTTGACCAACACTTATCGTGGTTGGCTATTATGTGCTCAGGTAGTCCATAAACGTTGGCTACTCTCTCCACAAATAAGTCCGCAAACTGTTCTTGGCTCATAGACTTGTGAATGGGTAAGAAGATAGTGAACTTGGTTAACTTGTCGATTATGGTGAAGATGGCAGTGTAACCTTCTTCGCCGGATGGTGGTAGACCCGTTATAAGATTGAGTGAGACTGTGGAAAAGGTCTTGCTGGAATGTGCGATGGTCGAAGGCTACCTGTTTGGGCATGCCTATCGATCTTGATTTTCTGATAGATATCACAAGACTTTGTATAGTTCATCACATCTTTATGCATGGTAGGCCAGAAGAATAGTTCTCGTAGTCTAGATAAGAATCAACGCGATCCAGCGTGTGTGCTCTCGAAGGGAGAATCATGAATCCATTTCAGAACAAAGTGGATCTTAGATTCTGGAATGCAGAGCCTGGCGGACCAATCTGCATCTATGAAGTAGAGCAAACCATTTTTGCTTTTGCGGAAATGGGAAGGGGTAAGGATGGTTTTCGGATTTGGAATGTCCTCTATGTATTTGGGAGCAAAGTACTTGTCCTGTGGGTAGCCCTGGGAAAATGCAGTGATTAACAATGGTTTCATAGCGACGAGGAGGTGGGGTTTGTTCAGCCATTCGTCGTCAAACGCTGTGGAACTAGGCTTTACTCCGATCGGGTATGTCCAATGATCATCGAGGGGAAAGGGCAGCTCATCTTCAATGGGCTCAGGCGTAGTGGTAGGAGAGTTCTCATCAGTCGTTTCTGTAGGATTAGACTCCATAGTGGTGGGAGACTCGTTCACTGTCGACATAGTGGGAGAGTCGTTCACTGCCAATGTAATTCCTGTTTCTGGTTCTTCATCTGGGAAGTTACTACGCTTTTTAGCTCTGTGGGACCTTGCTTCTGCAGCTGCCAATCAATCTGCTTCCCTTTGGGTAGGGGCTTCTGACGGTTCGTAGTGTGGCATTCACTTGGTGCTCTACTATGTCCTCCCAATAGGACACAGTGAACGCCGCCTGAGGTGCATTGGCACGATGGATACGGTCCTCCACGGCTTGGGCCCTGTCCTGCTTGGCTTCGTCGGGTGCTATGGCCATGATGTCATCGACAACAGGGGAGCTATGCGGTGGTACTCTTGGGAGTCTAGACAGGGGATCCACATTAGAATGAACCCGTCCAGCTCTGTGAACTATATGGAGTCCCAGGTATGCTGCAAACACCACCCCCCATGCCGCTAATCTTCTGTTGGCGTTCTCGTACACACGAGCCCATTGGAGGGCAGCGTGGTCCATGATGAGTATGACCGTTTCCCCTTCAACGAAGGGTTGGAATTTCACCGATGCCTCCTTGGTGCCCAATGCTTCCCTCTCGGTAGCGCTGTAGTTATGTTCCGCTGCCTTAAAGGTCCGACTCCAATAAGCGATAGCACGCTCCACATGCACCACTGTCTCATCAAGAGACAGGCCCCAGGAGTCAGAATAGAAGGGAATATATGTAGAAAAATAAACGACCATGCCCAGGAACTTCTGCAAGTCGGACACTGAGGTTGGACAAGCTAGGTCCACTATTGCCTGGACCTTCTCCTGATGTGTTGACAAGCCCAGTCGCGAAACCTTTTGCCCTAATAAGAGAATGGAAGAAAAGCCAATGAAGCATTTTGGAGGGGAAAGAGTGATGCCTGCGGCGGCAATAGCGCTCAAGACGGTGTCAAGATGAACTAGGTGCTCCTCCCAAGACTTTGAGTACATGACAATGTCATCAATGTACACCAGCGCGAATAACCAGAGGTAAGGCGATAATACTCCTTGCATCAAACGCTGGAATATTGACAGGCCGTTACGGAGCCCGAAAGGCATCCTCTTGAATTGCCAAAGACCCAAATGACACCAGAAAGCCATCTTTTCTTTATCCTCATCAGCCATTTCCAGCTGAGTGAATCCGGCTAGCGCATCAAAAGTCGAAAGAACTTGAGCACCTGACAAAGCCTGAATGATCTCCATCTGGTGGGGGATAGGGAATTCATCCGGTATGGTTTGTGCGTTCAGCTTACAGTAATCTACCACCAGGCGAGCCTTGCTGTTGCGATAAACCACCACGACTGGAAAACCCCAGGGACTGACGGAGGGTTTGATGACGCCCGATTTGAACCAGGCTTTCATTTGCTTATCGATCACCTCGTGTTTTGCTGGGGAAGTGGCATACATAGGGACAGAAACAGGAGTGGATCCTTCCTTGAGGGGAATAGGGACTCTAGCTGCAACTTTTCCTAAACGACCGTTAATACCAAAAGCCATGACATTCTTACGCAGAATGTCCACTAACGGTTTCTGGAATTCCTCTGGAACATCAGGACCTAGGTTTATGGCATCCAGAATGTCACCCTGTACTGGGTCCTCTGGCACTGCTGTGGTTTTAGGGCCCCACGCATCATCCTGATCCAGTTTATCATCAGGACCGCTGAATGTTGGTTCAGCCTCCGCTAAGTCCTGCGCTTTTAGAGACCCAGTAATAACTTTCCTTAAGGCATCAGCTGACGCGACATAGCGCACTAGCGTGCTCTCTTCGGAGGGATTGTCTAAGGCACTACTTGGGTCCAATAAATGCCTGACTAGATCTCCCTTCCTAACAATCCTGGGAGAAGTGCTGGGATTAGCGATAGGCAATATAGGTGCAGAGGTTGTGATCCACGTAGTTGGGGCTGCTAGAATGTCTCCATCCTCTAAGCCGATGACAACTTTTTCTACTAACCAATCTTCATGTCCAGCAAAGGGAGCCGATACTCGAATGTTCTTAATGGAGTGGGGTTGAATGATGGCATCCTCATCTGCAAGAACTGGAGGGTCTCCCTGAACAGGTTTCAACCATTTAGCTTGTCGAGCGGCCTTGGCTCAGACAAACAACTGCATTGTATGCACCTGTCTGATTTTGAATCCAAGGTCCACTTGCTGGGCTGAAGATGCTTTAATTATTCGTCCCATCCGCCCAATGTGTACATCGCAATGACCTGTAGCATACCGGGTCATGCCTAATTTGTACGTCGTTTGGAAGTCTTCGCCTAGTAGCAATGGAACTTGCATGTTGCGGACCACATAAGCCTCTAGATCGAAACTGACGAATGTTCCTGTCTCCGTGGGCATGAACAGTGTGGTTCATATGTAACCTAGCACTTTAGCAGACCCTGTAAGATGGTAGAGTCGCATTCGCAATCCATCTTTAGGCTTAGGAAGCCCAGGGATGGAAGACCAAAAGTCCTCAGACATCAGCGTGATATCAGTGCCTGAGTCTAAACAGCTTGCACAACTTCTCCCTTTGTTGAGGCGATGAAGGCTCGAGCATGAAGAGCCCGCATGCCCAGGGGGCCTAATCCTCCGGGGAAAGAGCGACCCTTAGGTGCCACAAAGATTTCACCAGGGTCATCCGTATAGAGAGGGGATGTGTTAGTGCTAGAGGAATAAGGAGGGGGTTCGTCATAGATCAAGATGTCCTCATAGGTTGGGATCCCTTCGAAGATACGCTGGGATCCCCTAGGGCTCTTGTTGCCTAGCGTAGAGATGCTCGAAATCGTAGTTAAGTATGTAAGGGAAGGTGCATCTGAGAGGATTTGACCTGTCTCCTGCAGCATCATGAGGTTTGGACCAGGAGGGTTGATCGTAATCAGTACAACGCTGCCTTGCAGCGTGCTGGAACCCGACTGAGGAAGAGGGAGTGGAGCTGGTAGTGTTTAAAGGTTCAGTTCAGTCCGGTTTTTTGCCCTGAAAACGCGCAACCGTGGACCGCAACCGGTCCAGGACCGACCCAGATATTGAGGGAACCAAACCAAACCACCTAGGACCGGTCTTTTGTGGTCCATGATACCGGTTCAGACCGATCCAGACCGGTTTTTTTGCGTATAATTTATTATACCAATATAAACCATTTGTATCTCAACCATTATTACTCTGAAAAATAAACGGGTTATATAAAATAGTAAAGCATATAAATACCCATCATTCTACCAATTTTCAAGAGATTTAATGAAGATTTGACATAGCTATGACTGAAACCGAATTACATCTCATAGAGACTCGGGTAAAATATGGATTTGGTTATATCTTTCTCAATTCTTAACTGTTTTTGATGAAACAAAAACCCAATAAAAGGCAATAAACGTGGTTACAAGGCTATGTAACGCACGTGACCGTTTAACCGGTTGGAACTGATTAAAACCGGTCTTTGAACGGTTTTAAAAGATTTTCGAAATGAGGCAACCGGCAACTGGACCAACCCCAAATTGGGGCAACTGCAACTGAAAAAAAGACCGGACCATGGTCCGGTTCAGTTCGGTCCACCGGTTTTTTGCGGCCTATGGACTGAACCTTTAAACACTAGGAGCTGGGGCTTTCTGTGAGGATGCCCCTGGCTTGATAGGTTTGGTTTGCGATGTAACTGCCACTTTACCTTTCACGGAAGGAACAGCTGGGGTGCTAGCACCCTTAGCGCACTAGTGGCTACCACTTTTATGATAAAAACCAGACAGTTGCCTGCAGGCAAATGTGTATAATGCTTAGAGGTTCAATGAAATGTCTCATTGTTGTGTCTATGTATTTCTTTCATTAGATTGCCTGTCTTTCTCTCATAAGTCATAGGCAGAGCATTTCATTCAATTGTCTGGCTATTTCATAGGGCGCTTTCAATGGATATTTCATCCTCATCCCTGGGATATTTCATTGGGTATTTCATTCTGAACCCTAGGATATTTCAATGGATATTTCATTCTCATCCCTGGGATATTTCATTGAGATTTTCATATGAATACCTAGGATCTTTCATTGGATATTTCATTCTCATCCCTGGGATATTTCAATAGATATTTCATCCTCATCCCTGGGATATTTCATTGCAATTTTCATATGAATACCTAAGATATTTCAATGGATATTTCATTCTGATCCCTGGGATATTTCTGTTGGGCACTGTTTTCAGGGTCCAGTGCATACTTCCAAATAAGGAAATGGGCACTTTTCCAAATGAAAAATAGCAATAAAATAGGGGAAATTTCAGAAAAGAAAAGGGGGTGGTGCTCACTGTTGGTGACAATGTTGGGGGTTGTTTTCAGGGTCCAGGGTGCATTTTCAAATATGATAATATAGCCAGAAAACAGCAGAAAATTTGGCAAAAAATATGAATGATGTATAGAATATTAGCCACTACCTTCAGGGTCCACTTCAGGGTCCACCCCCCAAAAAGGATATATCAGACCAAAGAGTAAAGAAAACCAAGATAAGAATGATTTTACCTATCAGGATGTTGGTCACATGACCAATTACCAAAAATGGTCAAAAACAAAAATTGTAGCCCTGCACTGTAGCTTCTAGAATCTGTTTGAATTATGTTCTAAAGTGCTCCCATTGTAGAGATATGAGGTAACGGATTTTCAAAAGCACCGTGTTTTTTTTGGTTTTTTGCATTTTTCTCCATGAGAACAAAACCAAATAACATGATTTCAACACATTTAGAAAGCTAAAAGAAAGGGCTACAATCATCATACCATGGGAAAATTGACCACAAAAGGAAGGTGCATGCCCCTTAGACTACAAAAGTCAGACATACACTACAAATTTTACTAATAGACTATGAAAGACTACAAATGTCAGACTTAGACTACAAAGTTTACTGATAGACTACAAAAGACTAAAAAAGTCGGACTTAGACTACAAAAATTTGTAGTGTCTGCTTTTTGTCTTAGAAAAGTTTGTAGTGTCCACTTTTAGTGTCTGCTTTTTAGACTACAAAAATTTGTAGTGTGTGCTTGTTCATTAGAAAAGCTTGTAGTGTCCGCTTTTTTAGACTACAAAAGTTTGTAGTGTGCGCTTTTTCATTAGAAATTTTGTAGTGTCCACTTTTTGAGACTACAAAAGTCTGTAGTTAACATGTAGTTTTTAGTCTTGACTCTGTATAGGTTATGGGGATGAGGTTGAAGGATTGACATGACCTTACATATTGCCAGCAGCTTTACTTTTTGACATTATGCACAAGTTGTCTTTCACATGAAGAAAGGCTATTCTATGCCTTCATATTGATAGCAACTGTCCTGTCTCAAGACATAGTTACAAGTTCATGTGGATATGGCTGAGGGATTGCCATGACTTGACATATAGCTATTGCCACATCATCAGTTTTTTATATCATGCTCAAGTAGGACACCTCCAAAGACCAATCAGCTCACAGGCCAGTAGCTATAAATATGCAAGCAGACAGACCAGTAACTGTGAAAGCAGAGAATAGCCTGTCCTGATATGAAAGCCAACTTGGGTATGCTGTCAAAAGCTAATGATGTGGCAATGGCAATATTTCAAGTCATTTAATCCTTCAAACCATATCCACATGAACTTGTAACTACATCTTGAGACAGGACAGTTGCTATCAATATGAAGGCATAGAATAGCCTTTCTTCATGTGAAAGACAACTTGTGCATAATGTCAAAAAGTAAAGCTGCTGGCAATATGTAAGGTCATGTCAATCCTTCAACCTCATCCCCATAACCTATACAGAGTCAAGACTAAAAACTACATGTTAACTACAGACTTTTGTAGTCTCAAAAAGTGGACACTACAAAATTTCTAATGAAAAAGCGCACACTACAAACTTTTGTAGTCTAAAAAAGCGGACACTACAAAATTTTCTAATGAAAAAGCACACACTACAAACTTTTGTAGTCTAAAAAAGCGGACACTACAAAATTTTCTAATGAAAAAGCGCACACTACAAACTTTTGTAGTCTAAAAAAGCGGACACTACAAGCTTTTCTAATGAACAAGCACACACTACAAATTTTTGTAGTCTAAAAAGCAGACACTAAAAGTGGACACTACAAACTTTTCTAAGACAAAAAGCAGACACTACAAATTTTTGTAGTCTAAGTCCGACTTTTTTAGTCTTTTGTAGTCTATCAGTAAACTTTTCCTTCATCCGAAAGATTTGTGGCATAGCTAAGTCAGAATGAGTCAGTTGGGAGAGGGGTAGACTGAACGGATGGAGGTGTCAGGTGAAAGATCTCGCAGGGGCTAAACAACTAAGGTAATCCGGAGGATCTGGATAGCTGAAGGGAGTCAAATAGCCGTGAACACTGTAGCAGCGCTCCAGGGCATCCTCATGTGAACGCAGGAAGGACTGCGCTCAGCGACGAGTAAGGAATTGGATAATGGTTGGTACACAAGGGAGGATGATGGAGGTGGTATGTAACATGTCACACTCACGATGGCGTGATCGGAGTACCGCCTCCGAATTCTCCCAAGGTGAGACTTCAACATCGAATGTGAAGTCCGCGGTGCCCCCACCAATGTGATACCTCAGCATGCGCGGGGACTTCGTGTGATGTGGTGCTCGCAGTACCATAGTAGAATGTCATAGTGTAGAATGATGAATAGAAGTAATAGGAGAGAACGCGACTGTTGTGGTCACGCTCGTCTCCTAGGGTTGCCTAGAAGTCCTAGGCAGACCCTTGTTAGCCCAGAGGAGGGCTCTCGTATCCTGTGGAGGAGGGAGCATTATGTAGGGAGCTCGCCCTTTGGTCTTACCAGCAGTGGACACCGAAGACTTATCACGCGAGCTTGGTAGCAAGATGATAATGGTTAATGTCTGACGGTCACCAAGAATTGTACAAGCACTATATCTACGCCTTAGTAAGCCATGACTGCGCGTCATTTGCGTCATCCCTCACTCTGTATCACAGCGCGTTTGAAAGCAGACTCCATATGAAATTGATCGACTATCATCAACTTCATATCGGAGTCTGACATCGGGAGACTAGTGATTTTCCAGTGTCGGGCCGTATAGCGGTGTAGTGAGCCTAATTGCGAGCGCAGCGAGCAATCATTGACTAAGGGTGAAAGGCCCGGACAAACAACTACAAAGAGTACATGCACAAATGGTATCAGTAAATTTCTTGAATGGCTTACTATCAGTGACCAGGAGTTTGATATGCTTCAGGAGTTTGAAATCCCCGATTTCCTCTCTTAATTTTGACACAGGCTTTCTGGTATTTTTTTCTGGACTAATTATGACTCTTACAAATATGAATATCAACCTTTTTTGTGCAACAACCGAGTCTGACGAGCTCAGGATTTTAAAAGGTGGTTTTCGGCGCATCAAAACCGTGATGTATGCAAATGATTTTCAAGATCTAATCCAATCCTTTGCATTATGGTATCTAAAAATTTACAAGCATGTACTAGTAAACGACGCGACTTCAAATACAAAAAATCGAGCAGAAAGGTGAAGAACTATGCTTATAATCCAATGAATTTCGATTCTTTGTCTGCTGAGCGTGACAGACGTGATTTTGGGCTGCGTGGTTTTGAACCCTGACAGTCGCATCACCTATCAAAATTCTGACAGTTGGATGTGACTTGGACGTGACAGCCATTTCAATCTCCCGAAACAATCGACTTCGACGACCGGTAAGCCTCCGTCAGCTTCCACCACTGTTCAATAAGAAAACTAAAAATATATTCATGTTCATGAGATACACATTCACCACCACACAAAATTTGGAGGCTCGGAGTGTAGCGGTTGTGGCATAATTCAGCCAAAGGTCAAATCGTTTCAAACTCCTGGTCACTGATAGTATATCTCAGCAAGTATTTACTCCTTACCCTTGAAATCTTGGATTCAGGTGGGGACTAACAGCATTTACAATAATATGACCAAAAAGAATGGGTTTTGTTGCGGTCTTTACGATTATTCTTGAGGACAAAAACTGGGTAGTAAACACATGATGCAACATCGTTTCGACGATTTTGCACGTAGGTACTGCTGATATTGTGTAGTAGACGACAGTATAGGCTTATCTATTGCAAAACTGTGATGTACAACTGCCACAACACTCGGATGGCGAAGCGAGCGCCCCCGCAGAGTGCGGATACATAATAACCCTTATTAGGCGCCAGGACATTGGTGGAAAGGACGTAACCAAACAGCACTCCACACCATCCACGAAGTCAAGTGCAGTTCCGTCCAGCTACAGACGACGTGCCAGAACATGGAGGAAACAACCGGCCCAGCGGGGCAACCTATAATATCAAGAGAAAAAACCGCGCCGTTCCTCATCAGAACATTTGTGAAAATTGGGAGCTTTCACCGCTTGACGTTGTTTGAAGATGGGACACTGCCAACGACCGACGAGCAGCAGTTATTTGCATGGTACGTTTCTCCAAACCAAACACATAAATCTTTCTGACGAGATATATTCAGGAAAGATGCCACACTTCGCGAGGTTCTGACCATATTGCGAAACACCGCACCCCACATCGCCGAATACCGCCATCCCCTCGCACGTTTTTCCTTCCGCACCGTCTACGCAGACTCAACCAACAAGAGCCGCTTCTTGCAAAAGGAGCTGGGGATGGTTTATTCCCGCGATATACTGGGTGAACCAGGCTCGTTGAACGCCACGGCACCGCGACTTTTGGAAGACGAGGACGGGGCCCAGCGCGACCGCACCGAACGAGAGAGGGAAGAAAGAACGCTTGACGAACTTAGATTCGTTCCGGGAGACTACCTCCTCATCGCAGTCATCCTTCCTAAAAACGTCACTGTCCCCACGGAGCTTTTGATCAAGGGCTCGGGGGCTCCTGGGGCTGGTGCAGCTAACGGCTGGCGAAGTGCACCTCCAGCAGCCGCTGGGAGGGGAGATGGGGGGTGGGGCTCCACCGCGGCTCCTGTGCCGCCCACAGGCCGTGGAGGAGGTCACTGGAGGGGGGAATCGAATGCCCCGCCTGCGGGCGCTCGTGGTCGTGGCGGAGGTCGTGGCGGGGGTGATTTTGGAAGGGACAGGGACTTTGATAGATCTGAGAGGCGGGCTCCTCCTCCGAGAAGGGGTGCCGACTCTCCACCTCCCCGGGGAGGTTGGGGACATCGTGGAGGAAGAGGCGGGAGAGGCGATAGACGTTCGCGATCTCGCTCGCGCAGTCCACCAAGGAGGAGAGGCCGTTATGATTGATTCTGTTTTGTTTCTTGCTACTGTTTAACTCACTACCTTGTCTTCTCTGTAGACTTGGAGCTATATAAGATTCCGTGCTGCTAGAGCCGTCTACTCTGATCCCCTCACTCCTTCCAGATCCCTTGAAGGTACCGAGATTACCAATATCTGTCGAATGCCTTGTACGTCTTCCTCAATACGAGAAGTCATGCAACTGCGGCTAGCTGAGAATCATCTGAACTAAGAATTACGTTCCTTATCCTGACGGCTTGAAGTACAATGCTCCATTGAGCATGCGTGTTGAACACTAAGGAAGGGAAGTTTGTTCTTGTTCAATTCCGCCATTTTGAGGCCAAATGGCCGAGATATCCAGATAGTGTTCGTCCACTGGGCATAACTTACTGATAACTCACGCAGGCAAAAAAGAGTAACACCACAATCTGGGCCAGCCGAAATACAGAATGCATGCTTCAGAATCATCTTGTTTGGAGACAAAGTTGAATGTCCTTCTCAGATGTGGACAACTATGAGATGGTACAATATTATATTTTGTATTTTTGGCAGGGTTGGTACATGTCAAAATTACGGAGGAAAACGAAGCATCTGAAAGTATGAGAATTAGCGTTTGCACGAAAAAGAACACGATAAAGGACATGGAAAAGAATCAGACAATGTATAATGATTCCGGATAGACTTGTATCCTCAAAGAACGAGTTCTCAGTTGAGGGAGTCTGTATTGTCATCATGTCGGGGACACCGACAGGAAAGAGAAAGATCCAATTTACCTCAACGGTTCTTGAAGTAATCCAAGAGGACGTGGAGGCCCTCGCTCTCGGCTCCGTATTCCTTGACAACAACGCAGCTGCAGCCAACAACCTTTCTGGGGTTGCCCTCACGGTCGATCTTGCAGAGACCAGCCCAGGTGCCCAAAACTTTCGCATCTCCAACTTTGATCAAGTTGATCTTGTGCTCCGCGCAAAGCGCCTCAATAAGTTTGATGTATTCCGCTTCAGTGCAGGTCTCGACGAGAACGCACAAGTGGGCCTGACGCTTGTCCAGGGCCTTGGCGCACTCGCGGAGACCGCGGGCAAGACCGTCGTGGACGAGAGCGTTTTTCAAAACTTGCTAGAGATGGATATATGGTCAGATACCCCATACAACGCATAAGATACGCTAGCGAACCTGGAGAGCGTCCTCAACCGAAAGTTTTCCCTTGGGTGCCTCGGTAGACACTTCAACCTCAGCAGGGGCGTCAACAGGAATGTCATCTCCAGCGTCAGACATCCTATAAATCCTTTAGTGGCGTCCCCATCGAAAAAATAATCATAAGTGCTCACTTTTATAAGATTTTTTCGTATGTAAAGGAATTACAAGGTGTTTGGATGTCTTCGTCCGCTTTCGTTGATGTGAGGAAAAAATAAGGTTTGCTAACGCAGTTATACTCTTTCACATTTGAAATTCAGATCGGCGATTTCCGAAGTTCCCTTACCCTTGAGCTCGTTATCGAACGCGACGACGACGCGTAGTTGACATCTTCAGCCCATCATAGATACCCAATAAAATGGTTTGTACGCTGTTGCTCGAAAGGTTTATCATTGACCCGTATCTTTGACAGAGCTTGGCGTTCTTGCACGCGCATGACTGTTCAGAACGTACTGCCAATGTTACTCAACTCAAACGACGGCAATTAAGGCTTATATACCCTCTCTAGCACACACCGACGCAATCTGGGGTATCTCTTGGACAGCGGAAGATACTGTGATCTCGATATCTGCGGATGGATCTGTCAAACAGTGGGCAGCGGCCTCTGGGCAACCCCATCCCCCCAACGCAACATTCCCAGCTCCCCACACTCTAGCACAGGTTTCCCTATCAGTATCTCCTGATGGAAAGAAGGCTCTCTATAACAGCATAGAAGGCCTTACCTCGCTATGGAATCTAGGGAGTGGGGAGGTAGCAAGCAAGTTTGAAAGTTATGCGCGGACAGGAGATGCGGAGCCTTGTGAGTGTAATCCTTCAGTTGATGTTGATTTAGCACTTAAGGTGCCTCTGGATGTTGTCAATTAGCTTGGTCCGTCTCCTTACACCCAAATGGAGAAACGTATGCTTCAACAGGCGGATCGGGGAATGTATTTATTCATTCAGCCCAACCCTCCAACTTCGGCGAACGCTTGACCACAATCCCATCAGGAAGGCCTAAATTCGGAATGTTTTGTAAACACGTTAGCCCTTCCCTTTCCGTGCTTGCATCAAACACTAACCCTTCTTATCAGAGTCCAGACGGCCGACGTGTTGCACTCTCCTCGGAGACGGGGCAAATCTACATCTTCGACCTTGAATCGAATTCGTTATCGATGACCTTCACCTCCCACGCCATGGCTGTCCGCTCCGTCGCCTGGTCGCCTGACTCTACTGTATGTCTGTCACATACTAAAAAGAACTTAGCTTACAAACGTTTCTCCAGCTGCTCCTTAGCGCTTCGGAGGATAAGCGCCTCGTCCTCCACGATGTTAGGACAGCACCTGGCGGGGCCGTAGCTTCCTTCTCCGGTCACACATCATGGGTTCTGAGCACTGATTTCTCGCCTGACGGCCGGCTTGGCTTGTCTGGGTATGTTTTCGTTCTCTCCAGTCGCAAACTTAATCTTACGACTATCTCAGATCGGCGGACAGGAGCATTAAAGTTTGGGATATTGGCGCACGCGCCGCAGTCTCGACCCTTCAAGATACCGGTGAAGTGTGGAGCGTCTCTTGGCGACCGAGACTTCCTGCTGCTGGGAGTGCTGGTGCCTTTGTGAGTGGAGGCGAAGACGGCGTTGTGAGATGGTGGAGAGGTGCCGGAGGCGGCACTACATAGATTTTGTCTTTCTCCTTATGAAAAAAACCACCTGGCTTTAGCTTTTATGAAACTGTTGTACCAGTATCCAAATCCTCGAGGTGTAATATGAATCTCATTCCTCAAGGGTCATGAGCTATGTAATCAAATAACCCTAATTTCTCCACGAAAAGGATGGGGCCCAAAAACGTTGTAACCGCGCCCAGAAAAAGGCAAAGGTTCCTTCATGCAATCGCAAAACGGGCCGGTTACAGGCGATAAACAGGGATAGCTTGCTGAGATCTTGACCCTTATCCATTGAGCTCTCCGACATTCCGAACGAGCCAATTATTGGGCATGTCGCTCCCTGTTTCCCGGGACTGCATCCGGAACGATGAAAACAAGAATGTGGTGGCCGTCAGTGACCGATAACCTGAGCTCCGAATATAGTCAGCATGCAGGTATAATGACAACGGCCTACATGTATAAGTATGGCACAAGTGACAACTTGAAGTGCTCAAATAAATTGTAGTTTCCATAGATCTGTTCTTGAAAATTGACCAATTCGTTCTGGGCTAGTTGTCATCTGCGTGAAACGACTGCTCCGCAATCAGGACTCACTACACACTCAAGTCTCAAACGTTCACGTTTGTCATCGAAATCTGAAGGGAGGACCGGTGGTATTTACGGGTGTGTGGCAAGAACATCCCGAGGTTTGATTAGATCCTTTTGTTGTCCAGACCATTTACTTCCGTCGCTCCTTTTTGGGTCGTTGTGAACATCGCGACTGAAGGGTGCAGAGCGGGAGACACACCATGTCCTTGGATTGAAAACACCATTTTCGGCCGACATCCCTGTGACATGACGGTACGGTCAGTCTCGGCCGCAAGGCAGCGACCTTGTCGGGGATACCCAAGGCCTTATATTTTTTCGGTTCGATTCAAGGAACTGATCATAGCATGGAGTAAATTGCGATTTAATATCGATTCATCGATAGTAGCTGTGGACAGTCGTAAAGGCTAGCCTAGATGTTCAGAACGTCTATTCGGAATCTCAGCGCGTTGCGTTGGCCTTCAAACACGCAAATCACCCATCATCGCCTCGAGGTGGAGCGAGTCAAAAACGCGGTGGTCAACTGCATCAAGGGGCATCACGACTCCCATAAGCCATGTGAGCGCGGGGATCGTGTTTATACCGTTTGCGCGTTGTGCTTGAAAGGTAAAACACTTAGAAAGGAGACCACGTGAGTTAAAAAGTCGTTTCGTACCTTTCAAGCTTTCATAGCGGGCGATAATTTGGTCTATCTGACGCTCAGAGAAGGGGAAAACATTGCCCTGTGCAAGAGATCTTTTTGCTGAAAGAGAAAAAAAAAGTGAGAATATGACGGGGTGCATTGTAGAAGCCTCTCACCTGCAACGAGAGCTGAAGAAAATTCCTGTTCGACGTTTGGCGGAAGAGTATTGTGGTGAGAAGGAAACTCCGCGATGAGGGACCAGAAGTGCTCTTTCGACCTCAAGTGTAGTCCTGAATTTACAATTGCAGGTGAGCGAATAATAATAATAATAATAATAAGGATTGATGATCTCACCACGTTCTTCATTCCAGAGGTAAGCTGCCTTAGCCTCCCTCGAATACATTCTAATCACGGCAGCGCTATCGCTAACATCAGCGACGGTCATCTCCCAATCACTGGGAAGCTGAGAAAGATTAGGGTCGCCCTCAATGCACTGCAGGTGATCCCCTCTGGCATCCATAACATATCCCAGGATGTTGGGATCCAGAATATTGTCTGGCGTCGATAGCCGCAACTCTCGGTTGTAGTAATAGACGTCCCCGTTGGGGTGCACGTATCTATTCCAATGGGGGGGAATGGCAAGGGCACTGCATAATGAGCATCAGTACGTGACGTTCACGGGTTATATACAATGTTGGACTTTAAATCGCTGGATGCAGCAGGTGTTTGTGGTGAATAATATTGCGTCGTTTCGATAAAATCCAAAGTTCTTTCTGTATGGCTTCCATTTCCGTAGAACGATGGGGAGGACATGGCCAGAGAGGAGCGCGAGTTTTGCTTTACTTCCTGGCGTAGTGCTGATAAGGCTTTATTCGTCTTAACTTGTTGGAGGAGGGTCATCCGATGCGGACATGAGAATCTACAAAGGTAGCGAGCAGAAAACGTGTTTGAAACATGTGAGGATTACGGAAAAAGTTGACAAGAGCTTGTATCGGCCGCGGCATTGGGCATTCATTTTACGAGCAAGTCAAAAAATGTCAAGTTTCCTTTGAGGAAACTCAGGTAAACCCGCGCCAGTTTCGTAGGATCTGTAAATTGAGTTAGAGAACACGGGACAAGCCGTCACCAATTCCGAGGGCGAGAGCTACCCCTTCTGCTCTACCTCGATCATTGACACATGAGTCCGCCAAGCTGTCGTCAAGAACCTATGTCCCGCAGAAACAGAAGTTACCAGTGCGTGGGCCGCATCAAAACAGACGGGAGATCAGGGCTCAGGGCTCACAGAGGTTTCCCATTTCCGTCGTAGAATCGACTCATCAGGCCATGAGGAGAACAGAGGCCGGTATATCGCAGGATGCGGGAGCCCGAAAACGTCTTGTTTTATTACAGTTAAAATACAACCACCTAAGATCCAAGATCAGATAAGTATGATAAAGTCAAGTTTTTTAAACGATGAACGTCAAGGTGATGATTGAAAGAGTCTGATATAAAATGCCACATGAGGCGCTTTGGCTTGATCTTGCATCACAATTTCACGGGCCGGCGCCCGGTGATAGTGGTCGATTGGATGTCGATAGATCACTGCTGAGAGGCGCTAGGCCTAACTTGGGATTTGGAACTATATGAGGGGGAGGAATATGGGAGGACTGAGATTGAGCAGGTGCGGCAGTTTGTAGAGACGCCAGCGTCGGCTTCAAAGTCATTGGCTGGAGGAATAATAAGTCAAGTCCTGAGATAGAATCAGCCGGCTCACCAAACTTTCTCAACCACCGCTGCCGAAATTGGTGGTAACCTCTGTAGCTGTTGCACTAAGTCCCACTTCTGGCCAAGTTTTGCGAAGGGCTCTATGAGTGAACATCTCGAGACGCAACAGCCTGCATACTTCAGCCAAGAGTTCATTATCATCCTCGCTACACTTTACATATGAACTTCTCACGCTGGTTGGACAAGTCCATGAATCCCGACACCCACTGTAGCTCCTGCTTCTTCGACATGTTGCAGGAAGTATATCCGTTCAATGAAGAAAACGCGTGGTTTGACTCCAAGGAGCCATTACGTTTGGTGATGAAAAGAAAGGTTCATCGAGCGGGATCGAGAGATGTATCCCATGGCTTGTATTGACCACAAAAACATATGCTTCAAGTTGAAGCTGGGTGGTTGTTTGAGGAGCGAAGACCAGAGAGCTAGGCGAATGGGAAGAGTTCCTGTGGTAAATGATGTATTAGAAGGTTGTGATGGATCGGTCGGCAGATAAAAACGCACATATGGCCATGGCAGACTCTTGGGCAGCATCAGATGCTTCTGGATCTATTTCACCCTCTGCATCTGCATCGCCATCATGTTCATCGTCATAATCTTCATCCAATTCTCGTAAAGGCGGCCCTGGCAGCGGTGTTGGCGAACGAGGGTGATTCATCGACCTATGCGCATCGCCGAGTCTATTCCCACCAGTCTTGTCCTCAGTACTGTTCTCGTTCCTGTCGTTCTGTTCGTCGCCGTCGTTTCGCTTGTCCCTGCCATGTTGGTTGTCATTGTCGTTTTGCTCGTCCTTATCTCCGTCTACACCGTTCTGCTCCACCACAGTTGCTGCATCCACTTCGACTTCCTGGCTTTGATCATGCTTTTCAACGTCAACAAGTAACGACCGACTCTCCACTGCGTCCACTGCCACCCCATGAGTTCCCTCCAGACTCCGAGTACTTGCCGCCTGATCTTCCTCCTGTGAAAACCTCTTCAGACCATCCGTCTCGATAGTTATTGAGCCACTCGGCACTACTTTCGCTGCGACTCCATTCATTCTCCTCGGACTGGTAGACTGATGAGAACCCGCCCTATGATCTCCCTCCTTCTCAGTAGGATGCACATCTACAGGCTTTTGTAGAGATGACGATTCTACGACCCTTGCAGCGTCCAAAACTGGGTCGTATCGAGGTCTTGACGGCTCTGGCATAATCGGAGAAGAAGATCCATCATGCTCATCGTTCCCATCCCCCTCTACCCTTTCGCCCCATCCAACAACCGGTCCGAAACTGAAAGCCGTGCTCGGTCTCTGGTTCCCAACTCCCGAATCCACCCATACATGCTCGGGTTCTCTGTTCGCCGCCTTCTCTTTGCCCTTCAGTTTGCTAGGCAATGGAGCCAGAGCTTCATCTAGAGGTGAATACATCCGCCCTCGACGACCATCGGGAGCTGAGATAATTCGAGGACCAGGAGGCGAGATCATACGCAGTGTCTGCGTGGGGTTAGATGAAGTATGATTATTATTGCCTGTCCTATCTCGCGGTGGAGCCCTCGGGGGTCGCGCTTTTTTTCCAGAAGCCACGAGAACTGGCGTTGGTGCCACTTTCTTGCTGTTCTTCGGCCGGCCCTTAGGTTTCGCCATAACCTGTTGATCTTCATTACCGGTCTTGCTTTTTCCATCACCCACATCTCCTTCCTTCTCCTTCTCCTTTCCTTTCGCCTTCGCGGAAGCCCTTTTCCCGCCAGCACGAGGGGCAGACGCGGAAGAACTACCAGCCTCATTGGCAACTGCTGCCTGGTCAGCTAACACGTCAAGGGCACTCTTCGCACGTCCATGACTAGGTCCTTTGCTACCAGCGACGCGGCGTTTCTTGGGAGCAGGACTCTCTGAGTGTTCCAAGGGGCCAGCCCTCCTACGACCATTACTCTTTCCGCCTTCGTCCATCATACTCCTAGCAGCGCTTAAGAGTGAGTCCATGGGGGTGGGCGGACCACCTCCTGCCTTCTGATTTGTCTCTTCTTCTCGATCGCGTCTAGGAGTAGCATCACTCCGCGTAGCGGTCTCAACTCCTCCAACAGGTTCCCCTGAATTGCCCACGAACACGAAGGTCGTCTGACTAGCAGATTTCCTCGGCGGACGTATTCCAGTAATGATAGGCGCGTAGTGGCTCAACCCACTCCTCTTGGGAGTATTCGAAGTCTGTTTCTGCGTTGGGCTGGCAAATTCAGCGTCTCGCCGATAATAAGAGGCGCCAGCGTTGCCACTTGCCAGCCTCTCCAAGCGCTCCTTCTCTAGACGCTCAGCTTCTCGATTGAGGCGCTGCTGCTCCTGGTCCCTAACCCATTTGGCCTTCTCCTTGTCGGCGTAATGTGCTAGACCTGAGACGACACTAGCGCGTTCCCGACCAATCTTCCGAGCAGCAAGGAGGATGTGTTCTGTTCGCGCGTCTGAGGACAGAGAAGGAATGATTCTTCGCCTCAAACGAACGCGACGTGGCGGATCTGTGGCAGAAGAAGGATTGAGATTTGGGGGTTGCCATAGAATTCGAGATGAGGAGGCAGTGGGAAGTGGTTGCTGCTGGCTACCTTGGGCCACCGCGGTGTGGCGAGGAGCTTGGTAGGAATGATTGTATGGGTATGGGTGTTGAGCGACAGCATCACGCCGTTTGTATATGTCTGAGGTTGACGCTGAAGCCGTTGGTGGGTTGGATTTGTTACCCTCGGCAACCTCGTCGATAATATCCTCGATGGTCTCCTCGTCTTTCTTTGACCGTGCAAGTGCGTGTTTTAATGACTGTGAGGGTATATTCGTGTGATCATCTCCCCTGGGATAGGGTTGCATAAGGAGGATAGGTTTAAGTTTGTTCAGCTCAGACTCGAGCGTCATCAGCCGGTTGTTCGCATCATAGAGCTACCAGACGATTGTCAGTAACGTATCTTGCAGATAAGTAAGATTTTTGGGCCACCTTGTCGCGAAGAGCTCTGTTATCCGACTCATAGGCCGCACAGCGTCGTTCGAATTCCTGGTGACTCTGGTGAATTCATTTCCAGGGTCAAAATAGTTACAACGAACCTCATCTTTGGCCGCCGAGCTTCCTGGCTTATTTCGTTGAGCAATCAAGGCTTCTGCTGTTCTATCCCAGCCGTCTCGTTCAGACTGCCATCTGCCCCTTTCCTCTTCCGCCTGGCGAATCACAAAGTTCCGTTGGCTAGTTAAGCCTGAAATTGTGGCAGCCTGGCTCAAAAGTTGTGTTGGATCGATGAGGCTTGAGGCTGTCAATCGCAGAACCTGAGACGATGTAAATTCGTTGTGATTATTTTTCTGGTGAGGACTCACCATATCGGCCATCTCCTTTTCTCTTGAGCTGGCGTGTCCATTTTCACTAGATACAATCCCCATTTCGTGTATCCTGCGACGCATGGCTGTGATGTCTGCCTCAGAGAGCGGCTCAGTCGTTGGTACTATGTGCAGGCCGTCATTCGTTGCTTGAGGGACCAGTAGCAACGGCGCCTTTTGCGTAGTGTCTGTCAGCGCGAACGACGGCGTTGGCGACGCATTCGCCATGGTTGTGGGGGGTGGGAGTACAGGAGGATGTGGCGTCTGCTGTAAGGAATCGTCACGATCGCCAAACAAACCAGGACAAACAAAACCCGCGACGCTGATCACGTGCCAGAGAATTTGACTACACTGACCCCGAAATTTCAAAAGTCGACGCGTATATTGCGCGTATAAACTGACGGCGTACTATGCGTAGACGTTAAACCGCGTTACGGCTTTATTTGAAGTTAGTTACAAGCTTCATATATTTTTTAGTCAAGAGAAGTGTTATAAGATGCAGTGCCGAGCTAGTCAGTTTCCTACCGTTTTGTTTGATTATTGGTGAGTCGCGAATACTTGGCGATGATGGCCAGCCTTGGACCTCTAAGGTAGTCCTTGGCCTTGCCTTGGATGTGATTAAATTTTTATAGCTGAAAGCAGTCAGGCCTAAACAAGAACTCGCGCTTCGGACTCCAAAAATTATTAAAGCCGTAGTTCTCAAAAATGAATCATATAGACTTTCTACTATGCCGCAGCAATTTATGTACTTGATTGTGTTGTGCAACACGGTTCTGCTCGGAGGGGTTTTCCTACTAGTAGGATTCCTAGGTCAGGTTCAAGTTGAGGTCAGGCATGATTAAAATCTATCCACAAACAGGGGTTGAGCTAAAAGAATGGATGTATATGTCTGCCATTGTCTGGTGGAGAAATTTCGCACACACCTTGCTTTGTTCAAATTTTTTATTGGGTTGATAGCAAGGAGGACTATGTAGGTACCGTAACCTTTGTCCGATTAGGCAACTTAGGAGCGTAACGACTGGCCCTGAAGTACGAAAGAGAGTGACCGTAACGAGGTCCAGTCACGTACTTTCATCACGCGCTTCCCAATTTCCTCCACCCTCCTCACTCTAGATTTTGCGCAGCATGCCTCGTCGGGGTGTCGTGGCAGACAACGACGATGATGTGCCTGGCTCTAGTTTAGCAAGCACAGCTGTCAAAGAAGAAAAAGTCAGAGTGAAAGAGGAAAAGTCTAAAAGTAAAGGCAAGCAACGAGCACGCGTCGACGCGGAAGACGATGAAGACGGTGAACAAAATGGTGCGGGAGATCAAGACGCTGAAGGGGAAGATGACACAGGCGATCCGGAAGGTGTTGACTCGCCACGGGGCGCTAAGCGAACACGTCTCAACGAAGAGGGTGAATCGCGTCCTGGTGGAAGTGGTTCTCAACATTTACCCAAGAAGAAGACGCTTCCACGCGACGTCGATGGGTAGGCATTTCTGGTAGTCACCGTCTCTGTTCAATCTGACGTTCTAAACTCGTTTAGCTATATCCCAGGATCAATTGTTCGCATCCAACTGCACAATTTTGTCACCTACGACTTTGTGGAGTTCCGGCCTGGTCCTTATCTTAACATGATTGTTGGTCCCAACGGTACAGGGAAAAGTAGCATTGCTTGCTCTATCGCTTTAGGCTTGAATTTCCCTCCCTCAGTAAGATGCCGCCTTCGACGACGATCCTCTATCTAAGTTGCACAATTTTTAGATCCTTGGTCGCGCCTCTGAATTGAACTCTTTCGTGAAGATTGGAACCGAAGGTGGCTACATTGAGATAGAGCTCAAAGGTCCCAAGGGAAAACGGAATGTCATAATTCGCCGTACCCTCAGCGCAACATCAAAATCTTCCAACTTTACTTTGAATGGAAACGCTGCGTCGGGAAACGAGATCAAACATAAAATGACGGAATTGAACGTTCAAGTTGGCAATCTATGGTAAGTGTCGAGATCTTGATGGATACGTGTGCTCAATAAAACTTTGCATCCTATCTAGCTCCTTCCTTCCTCAAGATAAAGTATCAGAGTTTGCAGCGATGACCCCACAACAGCTCCTCAGGGAAACACAACGGGCAGCTGGTGACGAACGCCTCACCTCTTGGCACGATACGTTAATCTCAGCTGGTAAAGATCTCAAAGCGATGCAATTGGTTAGCTTGGCACTATATCTATGATTGTGAACAGGGCCTGACCACTTAAGTGCAGCAAATCAAAGGAGAGCAAGAGCAGTTGAGGCAAATGGTTGAGCGCAACGAAGGTATCGAAAGAGATGTTCAGCGATATAAGGACCGTAAGAAGATTGAGCACGAGGTCCGCTTTGTCGTCTTTCATATTATCTCCTCTTCAACACGCACCCGTAGATCGCTTTTTTGAACGTCCTCATCCCCGTGGCAACTTATCGGGAAACCTTAATCCGTTTCAAGGAGATCAAGGCGAATCAGCGAAGACTCCATGAGAAGGTCACAAAGCTGAAGGCGAAAAACGCCCCTGCCCATGAATTTCTCAAGTCAGTTGTGTCGCTTGATAACTGACCATTCGTTAACTCCCTGAATCGAGCAGAAAGCTTGATGCATCACACAAGGCTTTGGACAAGGTTAGGGATGATAAGAAGAAAATAGTTTCCGCTCATGTAAAGCGAATGCAAGCCAAGCACACGGCTAATGACAAACTCGTGCGTATATCAAGTAATCGTTGTTGAGGACCATGTTGATGTACCACGTGAGGATAGGAGACCGACGCTGAAGATATTAACATGAAGCTCGGGCAACTCAAGAGAGCGGAAAAGGAGCGCACCATTAAGATCAAAAGTCTGGGCAACGACATTAAGAAGCAAGAAGATGAATTGGCCAGAGATCCTCCCGAGCTCCCAAGTCAAGAACAGCTCAATGACGAAGCTGTACGTCAGGTTCCATGATCTTTCCCCGTTCTCACATGGTGCTGCAGAGGCAAATAAATCTAGAGCGCCAATCACTCATTGCGCGGAGGGGAGAACTGGATCAGCAGCTCGAAAGCCTGGTCGTTCGAAAGACCGATGCCAAACACGAGTATGACAAGGGCGCTGCAGAGTACGTGGAAACGCTTTTGATGGGAGCAGGTCGGGCTGATATTGATTAGGCTGAAGAAACTGGACGACGCCGATGCTCGTAAGCTCGCTATGATGTATCGCTGGGACAGGGAGACCCACGACGCAATCAAGTGGCTTCGATCCAACAAGCATCTTTTCAAGGCACAAGTGTTCGAGCCGCCTTTCATGTGTGTTACTGTTAAAGACAAGAGGTATGCAAACGCGGTCGAGGCTTGTTTCAGTGCTGGCCAGATGAAGGTTAATTCCTTGCCTACGTCTTCGCACCAGTAACCTGATGATTGTATTCATTTAGACGTTTGTTGCCCAGTCACAAGAAGATTGCGATACTCTCAATCATCACATCAATGACTCAGGAGCGTTGGGGCGAAAAGCCCGGATTACGACGTGGTTCAGAGCACATCAGGAGGATATGTTAGTTCCTCCTCCAATGAGTCGTGAAGAGGTTTGCCTTGTCATCAGGAAGCTTCACGACACCTTGAACTGATCATTATGTTTCAGTTGGCTGAGCTGCACTTTGATGGATATGCACTGGATTACATCGATTATCCTGAGGGATTACAATGGTTCTTAAGAAGAGAACTCAACTTGCACCGAACCGTATGTCCCTTTCTCTTGCCTTGCATTTTCTAACATTGAAAAATATCATCTATAATCAGGCTATTGCTCTCAAGGCTAATGTAGACGTCAATCGCACCATGGAGGTTGTGGCTCGTCCAGGACACAATCATCCTGGAGGAGCTAACTTCATCAATGGAACGACCATGAACATCGTGTCACGTTCTCGGTATGGACGAAAGGCGGTGGGCAACATGACGCGAGATGTCCATCAAGCGAGGAACTTTGTCATCCCAACCAGTAAGTTTCTTCGTTTTGAGCGTTACTTAAGCTGACATCGTTTCCTCAGTCGATCCTGAGACCAAGCGAAAGTATGACGAGATGATGGCAGCGGCAGTGCAGGAAAAGCAGCTCTGTGACGAAGCCATGGCTGGGGTGAACAAGAAGCTTGACGATGTGGCGGAAGAGGACAAGTCATTTGTAGCGCGGATTGTTAGTATCATGGCCGTCTTCGCGATCTGTGACTAACTCCTTGGCTGTTTCTTACAGAACAGCGTCAAAAGCCGGAGGGAAGAAATCAAAAACGAACAGAAGAGGATTGCTACCGCTCAGTCGAGGCTCAGTAAGCCCTGCATTGCTTTTATTAGCAAATGCTGATCTGGGCGCATAGTACGCCTACGGGATCAACTTAAACAGTATATGAGTCAACCTTCAGCTGATGAAGAAAGGAAAAAGCTCAGGAAGAAACTATTATCCATTAGCCAGCAACGCATGATAAACGCAAAAGATTACACAGTGGGTTCTATTTAGCTCGACACGGTCACTATTAATTCGCGATGTATAGAACCTGGCGCACGCCATCGTTCCAGAGGCACAGACGTGTGCCTATGCCGGGATTCAGTACCTTCAGGTTGGAGCCAACAGGGCCGCGCTGCAGGAACTGTGTAACAAGAAAGATGAAAAGTTCCAAACGGCATTGGGGGAGTTCAACGAAGGTACCGCGCTCTTCTTCCGCCTCGTATACCCAACTTATCTTTCGATGCAGTCAACGAAGCCTTTATACAGATCAAGGAAGAAACCAAGAGATGTCTAGCTGAAAACCGACAGATTGTCGACGAAGCGCCAGAGGACATCCGAGAGGAGTATGCGGAATCTGAGCGAGTCCGTGTTGCTTATGAAATGGCGCTTGAAGAGTCCAAGAAGAACGGAACGCCGCCTCCAGATCCTGAGGGTGTGGAGTTGCGGTCGAGGGAAGAGCTGGAGAATGAGCTGGAGAGGCAGAGGGCCAAGCTCGATTTGAATCTTAATACTAATCCTGGCGTTGTCGAGCAGTATGAAAAGCGCAAGAGAGATGTGAGTGATCTCCTGTTCGTTTCTTTTTTTCGTTTCCCTGTATTGACGTCCCGCAGATAGAGCAACTTGAGAAAACACTTGAGGAAAGGCAAAAGAAGGCAGACAAGGTAGAGCGTAACATCAAGAATGCCAGGGTACGATCTGTTTCTCATTGGCACGGCCAAGGTTACTAATCCAAAACTACCCTCTCAGGACAACTGGCAACCGGCCCTTGAGAAACTCGTCGCAAGCATCGGAGAGAAGTTTTCTGCTGCCTTTGACCGTACGTATCTAACAGTTTCTCAATCGTTGTAGGTCCTCACCGGGTTTTTAGGCATTGGATGCGCTGGCGAGATCCGCATCAGCGAACACGAAGACTACGACAAGTGGGCGATCGACATCTTGGTCAAGTTCCGCGATAGCGAGAAATTGCAGTTGCTAACTGGACAACGACAGTCTGGTGGAGTGAGTACCCAGTACCCTGCATCATTGATGAATGAATGAATGGCACCTGGGCTGACTATGTATTCAGGAACGTTCCCTGACCACTATTCTCTACCTTATGAGTCTTACCGAGGAAGCCCGAGCTCCGTTTTCGTTGGTGGATGAGATCAATCAGGTACATTCCATCCCTTACTCCCCAATCTATTTCATAGCTCGATTTTCAAATTCTCAATTCGTCTTTCTTTCCTCTTTCCCTCTTCTGCAGGGAATGGACCAACGCGCAGAACGCACAGTACACAACTCGATGGTCGAAGTAACATGCAAAGAAGACAGCGCGCAATACTTCCTCATCACGCCCAAGCTGCTTCCCGACCTAAACTACCACGAGCGCATGAAGATTTTGTGCGTGAACAATGGGGAGTGGTTGCCTGAAGAACGCGATTTGGGGAACATGATGAATATGATTGAGGGGTATGTGCAGAGGCAGGGTCGGGCTGCGAATGCTGTTTAGATGCGATTGCTCTCGCTCGTGGATACGTACCATTGCTATTCTAGACTTTTATAATCACCCATCCATCATCGACTTACTGCACATACTTATCGATACCTCACTCAATAAACAGTCTTCGAAAATGAAATTCTAAATCATTTATATATATCGCTCCCTACAATCTCTCTACACCTCACTCTAGCAGCCTCAACACAAGTAAGGAGGGCATCGTTACCCCCAGCTCCGAGCTGTGAGACGCTGATGAGGCGGTCCGGGTTGGCGTTGCTCATTATGATGGAGATGGTGGTGTCGAGGAGGGGTTCTTCGAATGATGTTGGGTCTGCTAGGACGTGTGTTCTACCGAGGAGGAAGGGGGGTGTTGTTAGAGTTGGTATCGTAGGGAGTTGGTGGAGGAGGAAGGAAGGAACGCACGAATCAAACACCCCAAACGAAAGCGGTACGGGCAAACTGGTATGGTTGAGTTCAAGTGGGACTTTGATCTTTCGCGAACATGTCGTCCGGCCCGTTTCTTCGTCGTATGTCGCTTTTGGTAGTTGTGCTGGGGGTGAGATGGGGGCCACGTCAGCTTTCGTGATTCCCTTTCTTTCAAGTCGAGGTGAAGACGAAAAGCGGAGTGCAACAGGGGGGCACAGACGGGAAACGGGTGACGACGTACTGTTCCTCAAAGCTTCAACCATCGCAATAAGCGCAGCGTCAAACACGTTTCCGTCATAGTTTATGCATATAGCGTCTACGTAGAGTACCCAGGCTGCTTTGTTTGGGTGGATGGAGAGGGAGGTGAGGGGGAGGATGTTGGATCTGTTGGTGAAAGAGTGGGGGGTTAGAAGGCGGGTGAGATAGTTTGCGGAGATGAACATGTGAATGCGAATGAGAGGGTACGAGATAGACGGCAAATGAAGGTGCGGAGATGAACATGACGGGAGAAGAAGGGGATGCGGTAACGAGTGCTGATATGAACAAAAAGTTGGTGGAAATGAAATCAAAGTTTCAAAGATGAAGAAAAAGCAACGGGCAGGAGATACGAAATGACGGCAAAGCAAAGATGAATGAATGAATCCAAGGGGGAGATGAAATCAAAAGGATAAAGGTACAAGAAATCAAAAGACAAAGAGAAGAGAAAACTCACGCAACCAACGCGTCATTAAGTCTATCCGAAAGCACCTGGGCCTCTTCACTCGGCGGACCAGGCTTGAACCGCGGGGAACACATCGCTGGTAGATCCAGGTTTGGCACTGTTCATATTCACAGTCATTACTTGAGTTATCAATAGGAAGAGGGGATAGAGCAAACGGAAACACACACCCAAAAACCCGCGCACCCCCTCATCCAACTCTGGCTCCGCAATCTCAGCTTTGACTCCACATACTACAGTCGTATTACCCAGCCTGACGAGGGCGGAGCCGTCGGCTGTTGATATTGAGCCTGTTCACATTTTTTTAGATTCGGTTGAGAGATGGAGAAGAAAGGAAGGAGGAAAGACAGACCAACGTTAACTGCAAGGTCCCTAGCGACGTTCAACGGCCTCCCATCGGGTCGTACGTTCTCTGCTAGGAAGCGTTCTAGGTATACGCGTGGATGGAGGCGTTGGAAGATGTCAGAACTGCTCGTGGTGGTCATGATCACAATTCATTTATTTATTTCACATCTAATTCTACGGGTCTACCCAACAATCCCCTTAAGAACCGCAATCTCCGCATTGATAATACTACTCGTCGCAGCCCCAATACTCACATTATTCGCAAGCACCACAAACTTCACATCCAACACCTGACACTGCCTAACCCTCCCAACACTAACCCCAGCCCCATCCTGAAAATACCTATCCAACCTCGGCTGCGGCCGATCCGCCTCTTCATGAACTACAATCGCACGTCTAGGCGCACTAGGGGCGCCAAGCGCCTGACAATCAGGCGTGAACGCGCTAAACGCCTCGCGGACCTGCTGAGGACTCGGCGGAGGCCTCCTCTTAAACCTCACCGAAACGCACTCGGTGTGTCCGTCTATCACCGGAACGCGATTACACGATGCAGACACACGCAGGGGGTGTTTCGCGTGCATATCAAACGTCTTCACACCCGCGTCCGATTCCGCAATTCCTCCAAGGATCTTCAAAGTCTCCCACTCAATCTTCTCTTCTTCGCCTGAGATATACGGGATAACGTTGTCCATAATATCAAGGGCCGATACACCCGGATACCCCGCCCCCGAAATAGCTTGCATCGTCGTGACGAGGACGCTCTCGATGGGTCCAAACGCTTTTTCGAGTGCGCAGAGGGGTATGACGTATCCCGTCGTTGAACAATTTGCGTTTGTTACTATGAACCCTTTTTGCAGGGGCGGGGTGTGAAGGAGGCGTTGTTGTGGGATTATGGAGAGGTGGGAGGGATTGACGAGGGGGACGATTAGGGGGACGTGGGGGTTTCGACGGTAATTCTTTGAGTTGGAGAAGACGGCGAGGTCGGAGGCGCGGAATGATTCCTCTACCCCATAGTCAATCAGTCCACTGCGATGCAATGCAAAAAGAAAGGGAGGAGAAGAACTAACCAATAGGCCCAGCAACATCCGCATCCAACCCCGAAAACACAATCTGACAATCTCTCCACCCCTCATCAACCTTACACTCCCTAACAACCATCTCCCCAACCCCAACAGGGATAGGCAAAACCTGCTTCCACTTGACAACCTCCCCATACCTCTTCCCCGCCGATCTAGGGCTCGCGCCTAACACATGGATTTTAAACCACGGGTGTGCAGAGAGGAGGGTAATGAAGCGCTGGCCTACGGTTCCTGTTGCGCCTAGGACGCCTACGTTTATGGTGTGTGTTGCGTTGGGGATTGTGGGGGAGTCCAATGAGGACGACATGGGATTGGGGGTGGGGGAGAGAGATCTTGAGTGGTCATGTGATTCTTTATCTCGTTTATCTGGATGAAGCGATCGGCCGATGGATTTGCGCTTTCAAGCTAAAGTTGTTCCGCTGATTGTCCGCTGACATCCTGTTGTAAGCACCGCCATGATAAAAGTTGTTCAACGCGCTTCCATAGAAGTTGTGCATTGCTTGACACTTTTTCCGGGCTGGGACATTTTAGGGGGAGAAGCTACTAGTAACGATCATGTGGGGTAACATGTATAATATACTTCCATTTGTAAAGAAATTTTGCCTTTCCACGAAATGAAGAGGAAGTTTGCAAAAAAATCCGGCTATTCAGGTTTGTAAAAATCCTGCACATCTTAAGTACCTTTCAAATTCACGCAACATTATCCGAACCCAGAGAGTTGCTCCACTGACGCCCGTCAAATACATATATTTTAGTGGCGTAAGTTGAGCGCTAGGCACATGAAAAAAGTTGTTAAACGCGCTGTCGCGCACACGAGAAACATTTCTCAATACCCTGGTGTGGGATAACTTGAGCAAGTGCGACAATTTCTTCCAACTTTTTTCGCAAGTAAAAGCTAACAATGATGTGGGGTAATACTCCCACCGTTTGTAAATATTTTTTTGCGTTTCCACAAATAGGACAGGCTTATGAAAGTTCGGAAGATAGTTGACCAGGTCCCGTCCACCTTACCTTTCATGCGGCATCATCCGAACGAAGTCCTTTCTCAAACATTCCATTCCCCCCGCGCGCCATTTTATAGTAACCCTATTGGCCTATTTTTCAAGTCCTTCCGAACAAAAAGGAAACCTTTGCTTCGGCTTTCCTCTCCATTTTACTACTCGATGGTCCAACTTTCATCATGATAACACAAAGACACAACTTTTGTTACCAACAAAGATACCTTCCGGAAAGTTCAAGGTCTGAACCTTTTTTTTTAACCCGCTGCCAGTGTGCTGACGCCTTGTTTAGTTTTTGGGATTTCGTGAAAAGGTAGTCATCATTTGCCATTAAAAAAGTTTTATGGGTTCGTCGTCCGTCCTTTCACCTTCACAGCCGTTGCAGAGGGGGTCGACGTTGGAGAACCTTTTCCCTTATAAAATATAGACTTTGAACATCATCACTTTCTCAAGATATTCCAGCCTCAATCAGTGATGTTGGGCTATGTTTCTCATCGCACGTTAATGGGAATCACTCGGAGGTTTCTCGGAGCTGCATACATACTACTTAGAGCAGGTTGAAAGGGAGCTTTTTTGAAAGCCCCCAAAAAAAAACCACAAAGGCACCTTCAGCTAATCTTTTCGACGTATGTCATTGCCAGTCAATTTCCGTTAAACCCAAGTTAACGCCGGCCAGAGAATTCGCGATCACCTGGGCTTGTTTATATTTAGTTCACCGTCTGAACCCGCTTTTTACAATCTGTGTACACCTTTGTAATAAAAAAAAATGGTAATGGCATATGTCGAAAGTCTTGTGTGATTCCTTTACTTCGAGAACTGTGCCATTCAAATACGCCAACTTGGAAAGCATCGTAAGGACTTTCCAACAGCAGACTCTAGCTATTTTTAGAACTTCGTTGTGGGCCTTCTGCACAGTTCCCCGTCTCTAAATACGCTATCAATGAGTCCTCGGAATGTCGTACCGGTACCACCTACTAGGGCGCAGCACGTATGTTTTAACGACACATCGAGGGGAGAGAAAAAGTGTGTAGATTGTTTTACGGCAGATTATTACGGCATTGTTCAAGAATGACATTTTATCAGACGCCCAGGCAACGATAGACCTGAGCGAACGAACATGGTTACTCGTAGTGGAAGATTCCAATGGAGAAAACTGAAGCGAAATGAAAGACTTTGACCACCTGGCATACTCGTGTACTTGTTTACCTCTTTAGCTTACTAGTACAAAGTAATTCTCAGACCCGTTTTCTTCTCAAAAGAAAAGAAAAACCTGCGAGGTCACCGAACGAATAATAATAAAAGTCCTGAGTCGTAAGTAAAACGGTACCACAGCGGGAAATAATCAGCTACTTACCAGTACATAATCATAGCGCAAACATAGACTTGTACATGTACGGCTAGCGGATCTTCGAACGTGCCATATATCCCTGCACGCACTTAAATCCGGCACTGAATGGATACAAGGAAAAACCTTATAATTAGACCCATCTTTTACCCCAGCTGGATCATCGCTCCTCTGACTAATCGCATGAACATTCACTGCGCTAGAAGGGCGTGAACGTTTCAAAGGTGCTCCGATTAGCGGCTTGCGTTCGAACCATCGCTAATTCCGATGATGAACTTAGTATTGATTGTGATTGACTTGAAATTAAACCATGAGAAACGGGTTCAGAGCGTTGTGCGACTGTCGCGAACAGAAATGCCTCATTTATGGTTGTCGTGTGGGCGCGTCCTGATCAACGCGCAGCCTAATAGTAAATGTGTTTATCTTTTAATCCTTTAAAAGGTCGAGTGAAGTGAAGCGGCTCCGTTACCGTACTCGCCGGGGAATTGACGAATGAATTGTTTGCAGGGTGATGTATATATTTTAGTGTGCCTTTTGATTCTGATTCGTGATATAACAGTCGAACTGAGATGAAGTTCCGGACCCATACCGAGGATGGAAATTTTGTATTGAGCAGCTGACTAGGGTGGTCGGGAGAAGACATGGCTATTCGTGGCTCGAACGTCGCCGGATGTGTGTTGAACAACCATACAAGTAGCAGGGACCTCGGTTGAGCCTGTTGACATAGTCTATGTCACCGGTAGCCAGACCCTTGCGGCCGTGAATCTATTGAAACTAGCATTGTATTGGAGTCAGCGAACATTCATAATTCTTTGTATTCAACACCCACATTAATGGAAGGGGAAAGAAACATTTGGCTGAACAAAGTTTACGCACCCTATCTCCATGTTTTTATCGTCTGGAAGGGTGTAGTCAATCCGAGGCGCAGAGTCTATACAATTTTTTAAGTTTTCATGTTCAACGCCCACAGTATTAGAGAGGGAAACAAACATGTGGTCGACTGAATAAACAGTGTTCAATGGCGGACCACCATCTTATCTCCATGTTTTTATCGTCTGAAAGGGTGCAGTCAATCCGACGCACACCCTGCCTTGAGCGAGAGCAGAGCCGTGGCCACGCACCATCTCCTAAATCCTGAGGACTTGGACGAACTACTGAGCACATCAAGCACCGGTTAAATGTTCCTCCGTACCTCCGCGAACAAACGGGGCTGCTTTCGGTGCCAGTACACATACGATCGCCCAGGATAAGGCTCATCTATGTCGCAATGCCATCAAAGATACTTACGCTGAAGCCTGAGGGGTTCCTTGTTCCTTCCACCTTGTGTCTGGGCACTCTAAAATCCGCCTCTCGTCTCCAAAAAATAAATTGAGTGTATTCCATATCTCGTAAATCAAATCTTGAATTTTGCAAAACCGGCGTTATGGAAACGCCTCCTGCTGAAAAAATCCTTGTACACGTTTAATCTCAAGAGATTTGTCCATGGATTCTGAAGGTAATAGAAACGAACGTTTTCCATGTGGGTCTGGTCCGCCGCGGTTTCGTCAGATATGCGTATTACTGTTTACCCGCCTGACGGCAGAGTTTCCTCTTGTTCGATATCATCTGGGACGAGAAATTCAAATACATAGGTCAACTTTGCTCCAACGTTGGCCCCTATAAGCAAATGACGTAAGGATATACACACGAGGACTGTGGGAATGTTTGATCGCGAGCTCACAGACATCGTCGGCCACGTACATCATCGAGCTTGTCGGCCACCATGTCGACGACGGAAGAAACATCTGCGCAGCTCATATATGGACCTAATGTGGTTGCCAATTCTTCTTTGACAACTGTGAAATTCCTTTCCGCATGCTTTGCTGGGGCGGCAGCCGGTATCCTTGGTCTCGAGAATTGGCTGGGGTTTACCCTGTTCCTCACATCCACGATCCTCACCTCCGTTTGCATCTACACAATCAACTGTTACGGCAAGCCCGCGAAGTTCATCCATGGAGGGATAGCTGAACTTGTAAACCCTGGTCAAGATAACGTGTTTACGTTTGTCCTGGTTTGGACCCTATTTTATGGTTTGTCTCCTCAGCTCCATCCGATATGCAAAGACATTGAACAGTCTCTTCTTCTCTTCGGCTTCAGGAATAATACATGGTGAGATAACAAAAAAATGGTCTATACTTCCCTTGTATCAGTGCTAATAGGTTTTGTGTCATTAGTTTACGACTGAGCTCTCCATGGAAACACTTACCTTTGGGTATTGTAACCGTGCGCTTTTATCATCCCCTTATAGCGCCCTACTTACAGGTGTGTAGATGTAGTTATTTGTGAGTCACCTTCCCCATCGATATGTATCCTCCTTTCGATAACATCTTCTCCATGACCTCAGGTTCGCTGAAAAATAATTTATTCTTCCAACACGCTCTTGTCTTATACCGGATCAGCAACAGCGCTAGCGTGTTAAGTATCCTGAATGAAACATCATCTCCGCATACCCCATCTAACAAGATCTGGATTCTGAAGCTAGTGAGGATTCGGTTTCAGGTTCTGAAGAGGCCGGTCAGGGTCAAGGCAAAGCTTCACAAGAATCAAGATTCGTGGTCTCCAGATTACTGGGCCCTCGGCCACGCGGGACAAACACGCGATCTTCACTATTGACACGTGGCGTGTGGCTGTGGAGACGCCCGTTCCGGTTCTCCTGACGGACTAAGAAAAGAGGAACTGAACGGATGACTTAATCTACCCATCTACTTCCACTCCCCCTTCCGCGCACAAATTATGGCGACCCCATGTGTTCTCCTCCAATACGGCGACGATCCATTCAGACATAGATTTGAGGATCTTGAGGGTAGAGCTGCGTTTTCGATGTGCGTTCTTTATCCCCTTCGTCATCCCCAGATCTATCGGACTGATAATGCGAACGGATGGCTTAAGCACAGAGGTACGTCCCCAACGTCGACCCCCAACCATTATCTACACTGAGGCTTGGGCAGGCTGGGCAGACCCCTAATCTCGTCACCAGAATTACGCGGCAGGCGGAATGGTCACAGCAACATCCAGGCATCATGGGACCTGATAATTCATTCCTCTACTTTGGCCCAGAAACGTCGGTTGGCTTCATCATGTATGGCAATAACCGGACGCAAATAGGCATGAATTTTCTTTTACGACCAGGAAAGAAGGACGGGAGCGTGTATGTATCCCTTTCTCTCCGTTCCCACATTCTGCTGACTCCTGTTGAAATCAGCTCCCGCTACTTCATAACGCAGAGCGGGAAGGAGCTTAAATGGAGAGTGGGTTCACACAGAATGGAGGTTCGCGATTCCCCCAACATAAACCTCGCTTGGTTGTTATGCCGACCTTTTCCTGTCTCTCTAGTGCGTAGATGGACGGACAACTTTGGCGACGTGGGATGTCAGCCCAGCGACGGACGAACATTACGCTAGACTCGTCATAAAGCCCGCTGGACTGCACATCGTAACGGAGATCATAACAACTCTAGCGTTAAATCGCATGGCTCGGGCGTTGGGTTGGTAGTTCAGCACATGCCCTCAGTCATCATCGCCCACCCATCATACCTTATTCCCGTTGATTATCGTCAGCAAGTTTTATAATGTACTTTTGTATTTTTCCTCCTCCAACCACGACCACGCGATGCCTCCATTATCAGCCATCCATCCATCCATCTATCAACCTCCGAGCTTCCCGTTGTAATATATTTCGGTCTCTGTTCCAAATTATGTTACTCCATTTCCCATTCATTCACGTCACCATCCCCATGTTTAGCCTGTGATAAAGCAGGGCCAAAACCGTGCCAACGTCTGACCGGGGAAGACCTTTCTCCCCGTTTTGAAAATTTCCTTTACTCTTCGCCTTCTTTCCAGAACTCACTCTGGAGCTCCACCAGGCGACCCCACTCAGGCTCGTCTTCGAAATCCCGGGTACGAGCCATGAAGGCCCGCACAATGCTGCGCCTTTGCAATCTCCACTTGTAGTTCTCTGTCTGCGGCCCGAAGTTTCTCAAAATATCCACGATGTCTTCCACCTCGCTCACGGCTTCACGCCATTTCTCGACGTCAGCTTCTCCCTTTTCCATGGTCCCCGCCGTCCCAATCCGGTATCCATCGAGGTAAGCCTTGAGCGCTTCTTCCCACTTCGACTCCCAAGTCAAAAGCCGCCCGTAGGCACGGAAAATTCGCGGTGACGAAACGCGTGATAAGATTTTTTCTTCAAAAAGGATTGAGACGTTCCTGAACAGACCATGTCCTTCATTTGGGTTGGATACTTCATTTTGAGCTTTGCTATCTCCCAAGGTCTCCGCAGGGTTAGCAGGAGCCCTGACTACGGCTTCAACCAGACGCTCAAGGACGTCCTCGTCGACGGAATTCGCACCCATTTTGTCGCCAGTCTCCTCGACGACGCGTCCCAGTGCTCGACACGCCTCTTGAAGTTCTCCGACATCCATCGCAATAATCATATAGTTGTACCACATGCGCCAGTTGTCGTAGCTGAAACGCAACCCTTCTTTTAGAGCGCGGAATGCGAGCATTTTATTGGAGAAAGGGATGGACTTGGTAGTTCCGCCCGCTAATGTGACTCCCCCAATCTCGTCAGTAATCTAAAAGCATGCGGATGTCTCGTCAGTATCCGTTTCCACATAAAAAATATCAGGGACTTACCTCGGACACCCCGTCCTCCTTGGCTGACCCCAAGCGGAGATACATACTTGCCAGGTTGTTCCAACTTTCTCCATCCTCCTCATCAAGCGCTACACAACGACTGAACGCGTTCCTGGCACCTTCCCAGTCCTCCTCGCGCATGGACGCACAGCCAAGGATAAACCATGATCGCGTCAACAGCGGGTTGATTGCTACCGCGCGTTTCAGGCAGGTAATAGCTCGGGGGTACTTCGCGCGGGCAAAGTAATACCCTCCGAGGGAACGCATCGCCCGTCCCGAGGTCTCTCTCGATATCTCCCAAGCCCGTTCGTAATGCTCGGCAGCTTTATCAGGCTCCAGATCGCCGAGCAGGCACCACAATTTACTTTCGCGGGTAGAATCCTGGACCTCCTTTCGATGAGCGGATGTCGATTTACCTCGAGCAAGCACTACTTCTGCTTCTGCCTTTCGGCCTTCCAGTAAATCACGAAGAATGGCAATTCCCTTCTCGGGCCTCTCCAGGGCGCCCCAGCACTTGACGACCTCCTCCCACATCTCGAGCCTTTCAAATATCTCCAACGCTGATTTGACCACCCCGAGACTCAGGAATCGCAGCGCGAGTTCCCTTTCCATTTCCCATTTACTCGGAAGAGGGATAGAGTGGAAATAACGCAGTCTTTCGGAAAGCGTCGAATCGGTGGTAGGTATTTGGTCTATCAACGCTTGAAGCTGGAAAGTTGATCTTTCCACAGTGCGCGTGCGTGAGGATTCCAGACGGGAGCGCAACAGTAGGGCCATTGTGTGCGACGACCAGTTTCGGGGATGTGAAATCACGCGAGCAACATACGGCGACATCTGTTCGGAGGTGAGGCCATGTGATGGTGATGTATTTTTGACATTGAGACAGAGTGAGAGGAGAATGCATTGGTCAAGGGGATGGAGCGGTGGCTGGGACGATGGATCTATGTGGTCAAGGCGAGAATTGGTTGCTGCTGGTCGAGAAGAAGTAAATTCTGTCTGTTCCAATAGCGTATCGTCATTTAGAGCCATTGTTTCTGGGACGTTTGATTTTTGAGACGCGTCACGCTGCGGAATTGCTCCATGCTCTTTCTGGAGTGGGGGACTAACGTCCAAATCGTCGTCACGTAGATGGCTCTCGGCTAGAAGGACTAGTTGACTGAGCTCGGTCTCTTGGAATTTAGTTCTCTTCCCAAGGGCACCAGTCAACTCGTACTCCAGGCCTGTGGCTCTAGCCGCCTTGACAAAATATTCCGCGGCTGATTTATCTTGAGAAAGGAGGTGATCCAACAATCCCTGCTCCAGATACAGCCGTCCAGAAAGGAGGGGATCAGCGGCCAAGGCGAGGCCTAAGGGTTCTAGAGAAGACTGGAGCTCAAGGGGAACGGCAACTGGCTCATCCAAAACTTGTTGATGGACGAGAGTAGCGCGTAACCGCCACCATGGCGCTGACTGAACATGTGAGTAAGGGAGGGCCAGGAGCAGCTGGGAAATTCGGAGGAAGGCAGGGACTTTGGCAAGATGATATGCCGGTTCACCGCCGTACGCCAACTCTGCGATGGCCACCTGCTCTATGGAGGCGTTCGTGATCGCATCAGAGTCAAATTGCACAACATCCAAGGGCTGCACATCAAGATCAGGTCCAGTCCAGTTAGCCTGCACGAAAGCGTACAAACAGGCGACGGCCAGCGTCAACCTCAAGATTTCCCCCTCTACCGGGTTTTCAGTGTCCTGAATTGCGAATTGAAAAAGTTCGGACAAAGGTCGATCAAGGGCCTTAGACCGTGGCCGAAATAATGTACGAGCTGAAGGAGATGTAAGTGCACTTCGGAATTGGCCGTCCACCACCGATTTCGTGAGATTGACGAGGGGGCTGGTCAGATCTCGTAGTTTTGGGTCACATTTGCCTTCTAAGAGCGATTTTTCGAGAGAAAGGGTTGGAATGCTCGTCATCTATGACTTCAGAGGTGAGTGTTGCGAACTTGGAAAGATAATGAGATTTTTCCACGTGATGTTGATCGCAATCGATTCAAAGAACTTGATCCGATGCATCCGCGCGTGGCTTGCATTGGAGCTGGCAACCTCTGGCGACGCCAAATAACCTGAAGTACTTTGTCGTGTGATCCTACTGATAACGTTGACAATCAGTCTATCCTGCAGGGAACAACATTCGGAATACTCCAGTGATACTGTGATAATAAGCCGAATGGACCTAAAGGAGCTGCCAAACTCAGAATGCCCACTAGTCAGAAAATTGATATCGCAAAAGCAAGAGCACCGGAAAGACCTGGAGTGTTAATTATCATAAAATCAATCGTCACTACATCCACAGAACTAAGTTACATATGGTTTGGTTCGTCTCAAGTTTTCCGTCTCTATCCTCATCCATGATCCCTGGGGCGTTGACCTCATTTTCCATTCCACGATAGGATTGGTCCCTCAACTCTCAGTTCGAATTTTTTGCTATTCCTTGGCTGATTATTTTTTTGAGTCAGAAGGCCTCAAAGCCTCAAGGCTCAGGCACAAACCATGGACGCTAGCTCGAATCCTCTCGAATCTCGATGACGTGCTTCGTCTAAAAACTAGGCTCTACATACCTCACCATATCCAGGCACGGCGATAAGACGGCCCATTCAACCCGTCTCCCGGAAATTCTCGTATAAACTATATTCTGCTACTTCTCCAGCGCTAACACTCTGAGTCGCCCACTGTGCTAAGTTGGTAAATCAACTGTAATTCGCGATATGAAATTTGGCGTTGCAGGAGGCATGTTACAAAATAGAGGAGTCCGAGGCTGTCCGAGGACTCGTAGTAAGGCCCGGGACCTTACAACTTTCGCGGCACTGACAATTTGTATATCACGGTAACTAAAAATTATCGGTCCCGAAAAATCAATCGCAACGCAAGTCCCTCTAAGTCCCTCCAGAAATACAGGTTGATTGGAATGGTCCACGTAACATCTTTGTTAAGTTGTCAGATTTACGTCCCATAAGTTGTCTGGGATTCCTGTCAATTATCCCATTTCTCCAAGTTTTCGAAATCTCGCATCGCAACATTCACTGGTCACCTCTGAAATTGGCGTTGATCCGGCATCCTTGTTTTTGTATGTTTGTCATCTCTTCTGTTCACAACGTCGAGGCCCTTCTTTTGCCGTACTGAGTATTGTTTCCATGAACGTACCACGGCGAAGCACAGTCTACGATTTGGCGAGTCTCCGTCTCCATACGGACGGCTCTCGGGTGTACCAAAGCTCATCTACCAATCTCAAGCCGCGGAATGCAAAGCTTGCTTTACGCGACATTCGTGGAAATTGGATTGCAAGGGATGCTGGTGGGACCGCAAAGGTTCCTAGGTGGAAAATTGTTCCTACTTCAGCTACAGAGGACGGTTCTGTAGAACTAGAAGAGTTGTCGCAATCAAACTTTGTTGAAGCCGCCCTGGAAGAGCGAGACAAGCAAGGTGACGAAGAAGATGAGGACGGCGACGAACTGAACGTCCTCAAGCGTAAGCCAAAAAGGATCGATAGGCGCACGGCTAAGCGGAGAAAATTCGCTCATGACCATAGCTATCTTGGTGAAACGGCAGCGGATGCCAATTTCTCTGGAGAATCGCGTTTTCTGCCCCTTCCATCATCGGTGAGTTCGAATTCACTGTGTGAATATCCTCGCAACTAATTTGAATTTATCTTGTCACTCTTGAGGATCTTTTAAAATCTATTCATTACTTCGCTGCGAACTATTACAGCGAGAGGGGCCAACTACTGAACATCTCACGCGAATACCGAGCGAAACGGAAAGCAAAAAGGCTCGCAAAACGTGCAGAGAGACAGGCAGCAAAAGGGCGAGGCAGCGTAGAGAATACGGCATCTAGAAGCTCAAGCCTGCAGCAATCACAGACACCCAGTAATGGGTCCGATGATGAAGACGACTTTGATTCGGAAGATGAGGATGGAGAGGAGAACGAGGACAAAGATGACAGTGAGGAGGATGAGGAATATAAAGAAACATCGAAGAAAGGGAAAAAACTATCAAAACGGGACCAGGGTTCACGATTCAGAGACATGTACAAAGTTTTCGACGGATCCGCTCTCATGGCCATTGGTTCGTCATGTTCCCATTTGGCGTTACCTAATGCTGATTCGCTCCTGCAGGAATGATAGTGCAGGAACATGTCACACGGCTGCTGGAAGCCAGGGTACCCGATGGCTGGGAAGACAGTGTGAGGACTGCATTCCCAAATGGAGTCTGGGATGATGATCAGGAGGAAAGCGAAGATGAAACCTGGTTGAGGGATGTAAAGATCAAAGGTGCTGGAATCATCAATGATGATGATGGGGAAGTAGGGGAAGGGGATAACGAGGAGGAGCAGGATGAGGAGGGTGACAATGAGGACGAGGAGGAGGACAACGAGGAAGACGGAGAGGGAGAGGAGGAGGGGGAGGACGAAGAGGAAGGGCATAACATTGTCAAGGAAAACTATGAGCAAGACGAGGAAGCTAAAACGGAGGACGATGAGAACCAGACGCCGGGCGGGGATGACAGTGAGGGATCTCACGTGATGACCACGAGGAGGATGACGGCTAGGAAAGCAAAGAAACCATAGGTGGAAGTAGCAGCGCATGTCGAGGCCAAAGGATCTGCATCGATATAAAAATAAACCGAGGGAGGTTCATGCATTGAGGAGTGGTGGATTGTACGGTTCCAGGGCGTTGCCAAACCAATCCGAAGATAACACCAATACTATGGCCGCATACTGGTCACATTCTTGTGGCCGAAGTCGTAACAGGGGGAAGCCGAGCAAGTTGGACGTACAGGCACCGTAGGTCATAAGTCCGACGACAAGGAGGGCCCAGTTCTGTTGTTTCTTCGCCATCTGTTGGAGGGGTGTACTCGAGGCAGAAGCATCAATCGGAAGCAGAGGAAAAGATAGGGCATACGGCCACCACAAGAAAAGGCGACGTTCTGGATCTCTGGACCTCCATAGTCATTCCGCTGCTATGAGAGGACCACCCTTACGCACCAGGTGCAGGGTACATCAACATAGAAGAACTTCAGAGGAAGAGATAGACATACGGCCACCTGAGGTCGTGAGCCCGACAACAAGGAAGGCTAGATGGGACTTCGTCGCCGTCTGTACGGGAGGAATACGCTTTACACACCCGAGGCAGAAGAAATCAATATGAGACAGGTAGACGCGGAAATAGAACTTACCGATACCGGTGGTCGTGAACCCGCGGCTCGCGCAAGGAAGGCAGAACTGTTGAAATATAGTTACTCTTCGGCGGCCTGTGAGACGAGTGCCCGATGATGATGAAGACATCAAAGTGAAGTAGAGGAAGAAATAGAACACGGCCACCGGGTGTCGTGAGTCTGACGACAAAGAAAGTCGAAGTTTCAAGTTTGGTATTGGGTCGCCATCTGTATGGAAGAATGGAGATGAGGAACCTCGGCGACAGGCGCTTGGTCGACTTCTTTCTTTGGCCCAAAAATATGTTAACCTGGATGGCACAATACATTACCAGCACCAAGGGAAGGGCAAGGGGAAGGATGCCCTCCGGCGTCGTCGGCGGGAGAAGATGTCGATGTCGGCGGGGGTTCTATGGGGTCTTCCTCACCCCCACATGGTAGTGCTCGTGGAGTGGGCCGAAGAGCTCTCAATAAAGAGGCAGATTGGTCCGATGATGAGAGACCGTCTCAAAAAGTTGATGTTTTACAAAAAAAACACAAAGCGGAAACATGCTCATTGTTCCGGTTCACCTTTTGGAGTTTCTGGTGCTTCTTGTCTTCATGTTATGTCTTACACCGCTGTGAATACTGAGAGATCATCTTGTGGAAATAACTTCAGGTGCTTGACGCCCAATACCTACGGGCGCTCCAAGATGATGCAGGCTGTAATTGACAATGACTCTAGCATGCTAAATGTGTGAGAGATGCAATTAAATAAAATGAATTAGAATACTATGGAGATTGACACTTTTCTCGTAGTTCCCGGAGGGTAAGACCAGTGACGGGTTTCGAGGGATCAAAATCCGAAGGCAACGTCCCATCTTCCCAACTCCGCATGATATTCATGCCCAAGATGCCCATATTTTCAGAAGGAAATATTTTCAGGCGGTCTAGCCGTCGTTCGCGTAACTTGTTTTTGGGTAACATGCCCGACACCGCATGCCGTATGACCTGTACGCCAAAAAGCAACGGAGTCAGACAACCCGAAAACCGATGGTATTGAAATGGAACGTACATGGTCTGGGTTCTTCACCATCATACTCTCGTAGGGCGTCTCCTTCAACCCTCCAGGGAACATAGAGTGCTTTCGGAAGAGCAGCTGCTCCTGCTTCTTTCCAGTCACTCTCACCGCTCTCGAGTTCGTCACAATTACGTAGTCCCCGCAGTCCACTGTTAAGAAATTTAGGCTCTATCAATTGCTCTGGTCTAAAGACAAGGCTGACGCACCGCTGGGATCGTATATGGGTTTGTGTTTGCCCATTAAGACGAGTGCAATGCGCTCAGCCAGTTTTCCTAGAATGCGCTCGGATGCGTCAACATGGTGCCAAACGCGAGCGTACGCAAGCGCTGTCTGTTAAAAGTCATTAACCACGCTCAAAGCAAGGATATAATTCACGCACGTTGCCAACGACTTGGGACATCCTCGACGCTGTTATGAGTAGCCACCAATTTTTGATTCAATTCGAATTGCCAACAAAACAGGATTCCCACGGTCACTGCACACCCAGCCTCAGCCTCTGACTTCAACTTGAACTTAAAACGAGGAACCAGTTGCGCACGCTTTTACTCGCTGACCCCTGGTCCCCTGCGCCTCAAGTTAAACCTGGCCCATGTTTTTTGCTCAATCTATCTTGAATTTTATCAAAGCTGACGGCGTGCCGTTCTCCAACCCCTAAACCTGCATTCTCAGGCTGAACTCCTGGAGCTTGGCACACACCTTCAACGAACATGAATGAGATCTAATCCCTTTCAAAGTTTCAACACCAAATCTTGAACTAAAGCGCCACGCCCTCTAGCCAAAAACCTTCTCAAGGGTTACAGAGAATTTAAATGTCCCGTAGGACCGCCTTGAACCTGTTGAGTTTATAGGTCCTGTCTTCCACACTCGCCTTCTGACCCCGGGATCTAGATTCAAAACCGATACACGAGACTGAGCTCCAAGCTCAAGCCGCTTTACAACCCGTAGACGAAAGCGTCGTCATGGGCAATTGTGAGGCCCAAATTCACACCGATCTGCTCGGTATTTCTCTCTCGTACCTCAAGGTATGTCACGCTTTGGCGCCTACCAGTACCAGGGCTCTTTAACACCGAAAATATCAATACGAAACCTCCTCACCAAACTATCTCGGTTATCTCCCGCACCTGTGTGTGGCTCATCTATGAACTGAGGCGACAGGTATTCTTTATGGAGATCCTGGAATACAGGAACTTGTCTTGCTACCCCAGAATCACGCCATCGTACACGCGATGATGACCTATTGGCTCAACCCTGCCCCTCTTCGCTGACTTCTGGTGCTTACGATGAACCGCCCTCACCCCCGATAGCCGATTGGTGGGCAAGGTGCTCTGAGGTACATCTAGACGCCCGTGATACCAAGAGCCTGGCAATCATGACTCTCAAACTCTTTTCACCCTGGAGAAGCGAACGGAAATGAAATCTGTGAGAGAGCGATAATGGCAAATGCCCCTCCGAGGCAAAATCGTTCCTCGTGGATAGCGCCTCTAACGTAACCCCATTTACGGTGAGTAAACCTTTTAATTTGTTCTACCCACATGTGCTTACACCTTCAAAGCAATGAATTGATTTTACCACAGTGACGGCACCATGAGGCCAATCTCGGGAGCGTCCCTTAGGATTTTCCAGGGTCCTTCATTCCTAACACACAGGCTTCCTCTAACACAAAGCGGATGAGGTGACTACATTTCAACTCACTCACACTCGAAAAAACCTTTAGATTTGGAAAGTCAAAAATTAGAGGTCAAGAGTTTGTGCAACCAGATGAAACAAAGGTGGGGACACGTTCAGTGAATTGAATAATGTGCGGAATCCGCCTCCGGATTTTCGCAATTAGATTTCTTCCAAGACTTCCTTCATTGCGCACGGTGGGTGGTAGTGAAATTGTAAGCTAATCTTGGTGAAGCCTCAAAGAGCGTCCTTATTCCGGCGTGGTGTGCTAGATTGGTAACTAGAGCGCGGAGTCCTTGGCGTGCGTTTTTCATTTCTTTGAACACTCCGGAAGCCTTACCCTTGTTCTTCGGAAAAAGGAAAGGACTACAAAGCGAAATGTAGCTCCTTGTGGGGGGTTAGCTTCTGGAAAGAAGTTTCGAGGAAGAAACGTAAGTGTGGATCACACTTTCGATGCGGGTATAATTTTCAGTAGCCATCGTCATCCCATTTTTCTGTTTCAGGTGGCGCTGACGACACCTACAGTATCGGAGATATTTTTCTAGATTTTCTTGCTCAACATCGTTTCACTATCAGCGCATTCTGAGAAACTGCTACTTCTCCACTCCGTTCCTGAAACATTGCGTACGTTTCTATGTTGTCCACATGGCCAATTCACAACTCTATCCAGCTGCCTGCGCTTTCTTGGCTCGCGTGTCGCGCCCATACTAGACGCGCGCAAAGCACTGCAACCAGGAACGTCCTCTTTCTCGTGGAATCCACTGGGAAAGATCTTTTACGTTGAGACACCTGACGCCGCATTCCAGCGATCGAGCAGGTGAAATGGGGATGGTGTGACTGTTTTCGTTTTCCGTAAAGCTTCCAGCCTATGGAGAGATGGCTTGGTGTCCGCGCGTAGCAAAACCCCAATTTGACCCTGCGTTATCTTCCATGAGGTGAATTTTTTTTTTCTCCTGAGTCCTGTTCACAATGTTAAACGTGGAAAGTTGAACGATCTGACATCGAACATTCAGTGGGAGCTGGCATTCCGGCCCGACGGCTATCTCCACAAATCATCTCTATCTCTCCGGCGACGTCTACTACATACTGGATCGGAAATGGTGATTTTTTCTACGTCTCCCGTCCTCGATTTCGTCAAAGATTAGCCATGGTGATTTTGCCAGCACTTCCTCCTTCCCCTAATTTTTCTTGTAGCAAGGAAAGAGTTGTTTGAAATCAGGATTTACATAAACTAATATTTAGCCTCGCGATCTGACTTCACCATTGCACCAAATTTCACACCATCCGTAATGTCCGAATCACTGACGGTCCATCTGCTCTTCATCACCATGTTGAACATCAGCCCTTAGTAGTTCTTGTTTTGACAGGATGCTCAAGTGGCGGCCGCGACTACGCACCTCTATATCCGTGACAACGGCTTTCCCGAAAGACTGGATATTCTTTTTCCAACAGTGGTGAACCATACTAGGACGCATATGCAGTTTTCCATACATATAAATTTTTTGTTCAAGGATCAAACGATGTTTTCGAGAAAAAGAAAAAGAAAAGTGGCTGCCTGTGCATGTCCTTGCGGGGGATATCTTTGGGTAATTTCCTGCACCTTATCTATAATCTGACTGTCAAAGCTTTTTTTTGTAACTTTGAACCATGTGCGCGTTTCACTGTCAGCGTGCTTGGGCGCTCGGTCTCGTGACCAAAAATATTCCTCGCTTGACCAATGTTCTTTCGCCGGTTGGCGTCCACCGCGGCCTCCTCCTCACCACCACACCCAGCAGCGTACCGTCTTGCGCCTAATATCCGCCAACTGTTGTCTGCCGAAACCCCCGAGTCGTCTTCATCAACAACGACAGTCTCTGGGTGGATAAAATCCATCCGAAAGCAGAAGAACGTTTCTTTTGCAGTGCTGACCGACGGAAGCTCATATAAGGGCTTACAAGCTGTTTTTCTCAAGGGAAATGGATCTGATAGGTCTGCACGTTGTTTCATTTACCTGTACTCCGTTGCTCAGTCTGGTGAATATTACAGGCTGACGACAGGAACCGCTGTGCGGTTAACGGGCAAACTCGTGTCTTCGCCTGGTGCTGGCCAGTCGCATGAACTTTTGGTGGATGAAGCGCAGGATGGAGAAGTTGAAGTTTTGGGCGAATGTGATCCAGTGGTCAGTCGTGCCTTTTCCTTTTCATGTGTCGCAACGAACGGGATGAAGTGCAGAGGCTTCGTGGCACCGGCAACGACCTCAATCCATTCAGCTCGACAAAATTTCCCTTGATTAGGTCTTGTGCTGACCTGTTCTTAAAAGGCATACCCTATACAGAAGCATGCCCTCGCAAACGAATACCTCCGCGACAATGCACACCTCCGAGCACGCACATCTCATATAGCAGCCATGGTTAGACTAAGGGACTCGTTAGCCCGTCAAATGAACGCTTTTTTTGCCGTCAGTCTTCGTATCATTTTATTCTCAATGTCATTTTGACTCATGCACAGGCTCAAGGGTTCTGTTACGTACATACCCCAATACTAACGGGCAACGACGCTGAAGGCGCCGGAGAAGCCTTTCGGATATCCCCAGTTGAGGGTGTACACCCAGCATCTATCACACCACCATCCTCTCCTCCTCCTGAAACGTCGTTACAACCACCGCCCGAATTCTTCTCGCGCCCGGCATACCTCACTGTCTCCCACCAACTGCACTTAGAGGCCCTTGCCACAGCATTATCACGGGTATACACCCTCTCCCCGTGTTTCCGCGCTGAGCGGTCCTTAACTAGTCGACACCTTGCTGAGTTCTGGATGTTGGAAGCCGAGTGGATCCTCGGTCCCCACACCAAGGATCAACGGGGTTTGGACGAAGTGTGCAGTTTTGTGGAAGCGTCTATTAGGAACGTCGTGCTTCTCGGAGAACAAAGCATGAAGGACGACATAGACGTATTATGGAAAGACGGCAACGAAAAGAAACGCGCCGCAATGGAAAAGGCATTCTCGCATGTAAATAGCCAAGCATGGACGAGAATGTCTTATACCCAAGCTGTACAAGAACTGGCCTCTTTCGACCATGCAAGGGCCAGTTCGAAGTTTGAATTTAAACCACTATGGGGTAAGCCCTTACAAAGCGAACATGAGCGCTGGCTTGCGGACGTGTTGGTGGGTGGACCGGTGTTCGTTACTGACTACCCTGCCTCCCTCAAACCGTTCTACATGCGCGCAAATGACACTCGGGAACCAGGGCAGGGAGAGGAAGACACAGTCGCGTGTTTTGATCTTCTTGTACCTGGGGTCGGTGAGCTTGTTGGTGGGAGTGTGAGGGAGGACAGGGCGGACGTGCTTAAGCGCAAGATGGAGGAAGCAGGGTTGGGGAGGGAAGCGTATAAGTGGTATGAGGAGCTTAGACGGTATGGAGGCGCTCCGCATGCCGGTTTTGGCATGGGCTTTGAGAGGCTTGTTGGGTGGGTTGGGGGTGTGGATAATGTGAGGGAGTGTATCCCAATGCCTAGGTGGGCTGGCAGGATGCTTTTGTGAGCTAATGTATCGTACAGCGTTACAAGTGCTTTATGCGAATGCTAATTCAAATGATGTCCTATCAATGTGTGCTGAACAGAACGATTCAGAAAACCATGCGAATAGTCTGGTGCTAACCCAGCCGAGCTTTCTTCCTACTGGGTCCATGAGTACCATTACCAGCTCCACCACTAGCATGACCACCGTAATGGCCACCTCCACTGAGGCTTGCAAAACTCGCCGAACTTCCAGGCTTGGAATGCGATTGACCAAACGGACCTCCCATATGCCCGTGTCCCCCATGATGCGAAGTGTTCTGCGCAGGGATGGGCATCATGGAGGGTGCTTCATCCTGTGTGATGCGTCGGTGAGGGGGTATTTGGTGTCCTGGAACGGTTTGGAACGCGTTCCAGGTTGGCTTGGGGTCCTCTTGGAACCATTTATGTTGGAGGGCCTCGCGGGCTGTGAGCCTGTTGTCTGGGTCGTATGCGAATAGCTGCCGGAGTAGGTCGTACCCCAGCTGGGAGCGGATACGTGATTGACACCAGTCAGATAGGCGATTTGAGAAGCTGATATGGGTCAGGAATCGTGATTAGAGAGGAAATGTAGGATACGCACTGGTCTAGACGTTTCATGCTTTGGTACTCGGGCATATCTGCAAGACCGGGCCAGTCCTGCTCTATAATCGCATCAGCCGACTTTTTCATTGACAATGAATGTCGCAAGCACTGACCATCTGGGGTACCTACAACCTCAAAGATCTTCAACAGCTGATCGCGTTGAAAAGGCACGTTTTTCTTTGAATCCAGCTTCGCTTCTTCCCCTTTGAAAATAGGCTTTAAGCTTGCCAGTTCTGCCATAACGCAGCCTACAGCCCAACAATCGATGGCTTTGTTGTAATGTTTTGCTCCTAGGAGCAATTCAGGAGCGCGGTACCAGATGGTCACAACCACTTTGTCTCCTGCGAAGAGTGGTTGCAGAGGCTGGTATATGAGCCGAGCGAGACCAAGATCACCAATCTTGACTACTCCGCTGGATGTTATGAGGATGTTGGCGGGTTTGAGATCGCGGTGAAGGATGTGACAGGAGTGAAGGTATAAGAGGCCGTTAAAAAGTTGATATACTAGGGATTTTAGCACTGGAGTACTGATGGTTTGTCGGAGGGTTTGGGAGTGGTGGTGTATGACTTGCTTTTCCAACAATGAGCAACGGTTTGAAAAGCAAGGGGTCGCCTTACCAAAAAGTCATGTTCCGCGTATTCGAATACCATGTAAATGGACTTGTCCTCGAGGATGACCTCTTTGAGAGCCACAACATTTTCGTGGTCGATCTCCTTGTTCAGCTGTTCCCTTAATCAACATCTAGTCCACATCAACGTATATTCTGCACGTACCGCAATCTCTCTGATCGCGCTTTGACTGATGCCAGTGTAAGTTATCACGTCGCCCTCCTTGTCTGGTTTAAATTTCTTGATCGCGTGTATCTTCTGGTCTTCTTCCAAGCTTTGGGCTTTATACACGCGTCCGTATGTCCCGGACGATATGAACCCTAGAATGGTGTATTTCGAGGAAACAGCACGGTGTAATCCATCCCTCCGTCCGCGATAATAGTACATGGGGTCACGTTGGAGAATATCGTTCACGCCATCGTTTGGCACCATCGTAGCCGTGTACGCAGTCCGCTAGCTCATGGAGGTGGTCGATGAGAGACTGGTGAGCTCATCGCCGGCAGGGACGAGATTCGTTCGTGGGAAACAAATTACACAGTGTTGAATTTATCCCCGTTACCAACGTCCGCCATCCGCCTTTTTCGTAACTTATACCAGCGTAATGCCCTCGAAAACTTCTCCCGACAGCTTCACCTTTACGGTGGGGAAGCTAGGTTCGGTTTTGACGCTGTTTTCTTCGTGAATGTGCTAATTAGCGGACTCATTCAGATGCTGGCATGGCAGTGAGTTTTTGCCACAATGTATCGAGGAACAACTCCAAAACAGCTTTTATAGATCTTGTTGGGCGAGAGAGCTCACTTGATAGAATTTCCATCAATACTTTTGCCCCCAGGAGCAACGACGGGATCGATTGTGAACATCGCTGTTCACCAAAACCACGCAGAGGAGAAACGACGAGAAGCGGATTTCTGGGAGCTTCAAGATGATATCTTGAGTGAATTCGGGAAGGCTACACCAGCGTTCCCTGATCTACAAGTGTGTGTCGTCGTTTTACTCCTTGAATCTGCGCTTAATCGTCGCAGGTGCGAAACGTCACCCAGACCTCCATAACCCTCGAATGGCCAACAGTCCAGCTCGCCACCGCCAAGCTCCGCTCTCTTGATATATACAGAAATGGACAACGACTAGCTGCGATACCGTCACCCATGACCAACACTTCAACCAAACTCTCCGGCCTTGAGATTAACACAGAGTATTCCTTCCAGCTCATCCTCCGCACCACCGCTGGCGTCTTCCCTTCAAATCTGATCCGCGTGCGCACGCACACTATGACCGACACATCTGGCATTTGTGTGTGCTTCGGCAACGTCCAGGATCCTGCCTTACTGGAGGACGTTAAACTGGCACTAGGGGAGATGAAGGCGAAGTGGAGCGATAAAATCCAGATCGATACCACCCACTTTGTATGCACTACCCCAGCTGTGACACCTACCGGTGCACAGGCGGCCGGAAATTCTGGAGGTCCGCCTGGTATTGAGTACCAGCGCGCATTGCAGCTGAGCATCCCCGTTGTCCAACCACAGTGGATTCTGGCGTGCCATTCCGAGAAGAAAATGATCCCTATTGCATCATACTACCTCGGTGCCACACCCAACACGCCGCTCGGCTCGGCTGGATTGAGCAATAGGCCACAATCCATGTCTCAAGCTTCGCTATCTCACCCTCCGAACACCCCACAAGCTCCCAACAAACAGACACCTGCATCTTACCGCGCCTCAATGCCCGCGCCTGCCCGCCAATCGACGGCTACTCCCCCCAACCAGGCTTCCGCGTTTGTCAACCAACCCACCTCTGCGCGCCAGCTGGAGTCAACGACGGAAGAACCTGGGGACGAGGCGGAAGCAGACCGCTTGAAGCTCGAGCGGACTACAAGTGCCGAGTCGAAGAGGAAAAGCAGGAGTGGGACGATGAATCGCGAATTCAAGTTCCCCCCTACGCCGTCGTCGCCGCCAGCTATGCCGGAGGTTCAAGCAAAGAAAGGACCTCCTCCGCCGTTAACTGAGAATGGCCTCGCTGCGGAGTCGTTGGTTACGCCTTCGAGTATTGAGGTGCCCCCTCCGCCACCTGTGGAGAAAGAGAGATCGTTCTCGAATATTTCGTTGGAGTCTGGGGAGGATGATGTTGGTGATACCGTGGATATCCCTTTGAATTGAGATAGCTACTTGCATACTTCGTTGGTCTGGCGTCTTTTTGGTTGTTCTGTACATGTCGCTGTGCCAGTACTGGTATCCTTCTGAATTACTTTAATTACCCTCAGAAAGGACCGTGGATTTGAACTCATTGTGAATGGACTTGGCCGAGTCGCCAAATATATTTCAACTTGCAAATATTTTTGCCACATCCTGTTTGCTCTCGTCCTCATTAATTCATTCTTCAGAAGACCCGATTTTGCAAATAGTCTAGCCACGGATCCGGAAGACTACATAGCCTGCTTCAAGTTTCAACACTCAACAATCAACGTCATTCAACGTTCAACCTCGAACTTGAAGTTGCCTCGAAGTCAACTCGAAGTGGCTACAGGCTTTGGACTCGGGATAGCGCGCAGTCTGCAACCAATGTCAAAGGCTTCCGAGTCCAGTGCCATCCCTGTCTATCGAATTCTACATACAGTAACGACGGCAAGCCCACGGTGGGCTCTCAGGGTCAATGTGGTTCTAAATTTGAACTAATCCATCGCGTCATGGGAACTCTCTTGCAAGTGCATTCTGTGATAATCCTCCGTGATTCTACCGAACTCAAAAACACTTGGACCACGCCACGCTCTACGTCGCACACTGGTCGCTCATCTGGATTTCTCGAATCTCGGCTCTAAGCACGCGACCGGTAGCCATTACGTCTCTTTGGTCTTCAAACCAGCATCTTTCTAACATAGACTAAGGGCCCGGCGGGAAAGCCATGTGGACTTATGGCTCCCATGGCCTGCATTTGACGCCGTAGCCTCAAGCTTGAGGGTTCCCATGATCACCGTCTAAGTTGCCATTCTCACTCCAAGATAACAACTTTGGATGTCATTGGTTCCTATCTTTAGGGCTTGTAGTGTGGAACTGGCTGAGCTTCTTTGTTCAGCGGCTTCCCAGAAGGAGAAACGTTGGGAATTGTAGCTTGCCAAAACATTCATGGAAGCGATGGGCGCGATTAAAGATGACATGGGTAAGAAGAATATATATCTCTTGTTCTTGTAACTTCCCGGCGCTTAATTCCCTCTGGATTTCTCTTCCACTTCCCGGCTTCGCATAGGATGGCGAATCCCGCAAGACAACCATGCACACTTGTTTTATGCTTCGACGGAACTTCCAGCCAGTACGATGAAGATGTGGGCGCTCGCATTCCTTCTCTTGTTCTTGAAAAACTGATTCACCTTTTTTTTGATATGTAGAACACTAACGTAGTCAAGTTATTTGCATTGTTGAAGAAGGACGACACTGCCGAGCAACTGTGCTATTACCAGGTAACTCTAACAAACAATACAGAACGTTCATAGGCAGATAACGCTCACATTTCGCTCTCCCCAAGGCGGGAATAGGCACATGGTTCCAGCCGGGCGTAGTGTCTCCTCTCTTTGAATGGGGCGCAAAGGTTTTGGACCTTGCATTTGCTTGGTACGTCACAATTCGAGGAGATGATCAATATGTAAGGTTGACTTTTTCAGGTATCTCGACGCCCATGTCCTTGATGGCTACAGATTTATCATGCAGAATTATCGTTCTGGGGATAAGATTTGCCTGTTTGGTGTGCAGCGAGCTTCCAATGGCCCGTTTTCTCTGCGTGTTCATAGTAACCTTTACCTACAGGGTTTTCTAGGGGCGCTTATACCGCGAGGTATGACCTTCACAACCTCATTGAAATTCTCAATAATGTGCATCTTTCAGGGCGTTGGCTGGCTTCTTGTACAAGGTTCTTAACGCTGTCGTCAAAATTAATTTAATCTGATGTTTAAATAGGTTGGACTCCTCCCTCGAGACAACGATTCCCAAATGCCTTTTGCGTACAAGCTTTACAAACGTACCGATCCGGCTGGAATACAGCTTTGCGCAGGTTTCAAGCAGACGTACTGTCGAAATGTCGATGTTGAGTTCGTCGGCGTTTGGTACGCCTTTTTTTGTTGTTTTCAAAGCTCCGTTACAGGCTGATTAAAAATAATGTAAGGGATACAGTCGCAAGCGTCGGCGTCGTTATGGGTCGGACGCTCCCCTTCAGCAATGCAAACAGGGGTATCAAGATTTTCCGACATGCGCTTTCGCTTGATGAGGCGAGTGATCCCCCCCCCGGCCGTGTAAGCCCTTCGCGTCAACTCAATTTTACCAAAGCACCGTGCCAAGTTCCAGCCAAATTTATATCACCGACCTGGACCTACCGACGCATCTGAAGACCAGAATCTGAGAACTGGTCCTGAAACTGGAGATTTGACCTTCGCGGCTCCTGAATCGTCTACCCCAGATGAGCCACAACATCAAGCGTCTTTCGGATACACATTATCGCCCACCGGGACAAGTTTTACGGAAAATAAAGATACAGGAAAGGCATATGCACCCGTAATGGAGGAGCAGGTGATACCAGCCGATGTTTTGGAAGTCTGGTTCTCAGGGTGTCACAGTGGTGAGGACGTTTGTCGCTTTTCAAATCAACACAGATTTGTTGAACTGTAGTTCCAGACGTCGGAGGAGGGGCCGTTCTGAACAGCACCCTTGAATCTCTCGCCAATATTAGTTTGCGATGGATGGTCAGGGAAGTGATCGCGTCGGGATGTGGGGTGATTTTCGATCCTGCAGCCCTGGCTCAAGCCCGAATTGAGGTATCTCCCGAACCCATTGGGCTTGCAGAGCGGGAACTCGACGATATTGATTGTCTGCAGCCCATTTACGACGATCTTGTGATTTACAAGATTTGGTGGATGTTGGAAGTCATGCCTCTAAAATTTACATGGCAGGATGCGCAGTGCGTTTGGCATTCGAAACATAGGTAAGTGCTTATACTTAGTGTAGTCAATCAAAGTGATATCACTCTGTTTAGTATCCATCTAGGAAAGGGGCGAAATATTCTGGAGCCACATCCGAACTTTCATGTTACGGTCCAGAAACGAATGAAGTCTGCCTTGAACTATAAGCCGAAGGCTACTTGGGCGGCGGGGACGGAAGTTTATGTACAATAAGGACCTCTTAGTCAACCTCAATTCAGACAAGCCAGTGATTCGAACTTCCGCCACTGAGGCTTTTTCGATGGCCGTCTCTTCCCAACTTGTTTACAGAAGTCGGACAAATTGATACATGGTACCTGTACTCGTTATATTGAAAATAAAGGAAATCGTTGAAAGGCGGGATAGGCTATGGAAAGAAAAAGGTACGGAGCAACTATTTTTGCAAACGCTGATGTTGCTGAGGCGGGCCGAATCAGGGCGGGACTGATGGCGTCCACCTAATTAGGACAGTGTGTCGGTTCTTCTCCACTTTTATGTTTCTTTCGCTTTACTCATTTACAAGTCCCTTTGTCGCTGTGCCTCGTGTAAGTACTAAAATCAATTGGGTCTCGCCGCACACCATTCCTTACATATCGCATAGGCACTTTTTCTAAGCAAAGCGGCATCAGGCCAAATTTCCCAAACCCAAGAAAATAGTCGCCTCTGACAGACCCTTTAAAGCTCAGCATTTAGAAGAAGTCGTCGCCTTCGTCCATGAAATATATCATACCTAGTTGTGAGCAGATGATAATATTTCTGGAGGTTCAAGCATTCGTGCTACAATTTCTTGTACAATTTTTCCCATTACGACTGAGAGGACTTGCATATACACTCAGTCCCCTGTATTTTTAAGGTGCAGCTTGACCTTTTCAGCCACAAAAAAATCATCAAAAGTATTTTGTGTAGTTTAACGGTTCCCTGGCTACAATTTAGAAAGCTCAAGCTTTGAGTTGGCTCAATGTTGGCTTTGAGAGGAATTCCTGTTTGCGTGGCTTGGGCTTCTGAACCAAACAACGAACAGAACTTCTCTTGGCATTGTTTGTCGCGTTCTCAACGACACCTTGTCGTCGACAGCAAGTAAGTATCCTTATTGAGAATTTTTTCCTCTTCTCAGCTCAGACTATCAAGGTCTTCTTGTCATTGGATCAACAGCTCTCGTCAGGTGACGCGACGCCCAGCTGGTGAGTAAATCCACGCACAAGCAGGATTTGTCCAAGATTTGTTCAAATTACCAGCCACACCGCGTCTGCTATGTCGAATGCCGGCGAATCCTCGAAACGGTCGGATATCATCGACATGTAAGAGTCTATATTCCTCATTTGAAGCGTTATTGAGTCCTATGTTCTCAGAACAAATGGTAACCTGCACGAAATCTTGACCCAGCAAGATGGAGTCCATCTGGATCAGATCAAATCATATCTCGAACCACGAAAAGAGCAGCTCAGACGCGTCACGGACGTTTTTGGGAAGCCATCAGCCGCGTCGAGGAAGAAGATAGAAAGTGGTTCGGTTCCACTGCCAGATGGTGAGGTTGTTCAGGTTGATGACGGGCAAAAGGAGTGCGTCTTCGCCGTCAGCGACAAGTTCCAGATCGACGAAGTGCAAGCCTGCATCCTTGTTCGTGCGTTCATTTTTAGCCATGGACTGTCTGGAACGTCTAGTGGTTCGCTGGAGGCCATTGCTGCTGAACTTGCCGAGAATATCACGCCGTTCTATGACGCGGAACGGCTTCACACTTTCCGGGTCCTCATTCCTCTGTTCTACGTGATGGGCAACTCAGATCACCGCTTACACGAATTCGCCCTTGAGTTCGTTCCCAGGGTCTTGCCTGATGGCACGAAATTCGCAGAGGAGATTGTGGCCGAGTACATCCGGAAAACGAAGGAGGTGCTGCCATCGAAGTTAACCGGGGATCCGAAGAAGGCTTCACAGTGGGCGAAGCAGTCGTTGAAGGATCAATTAGTGCTTTTGGAGGTGCTGTTTTGGGCGATGTTCAATTACGTTCAGTGCACAGGACCGCTGGTGGTGACAATCTATGAGGCTGCATACGGCACATGCCTAGGTTCCACGCAAGCAAACAATACCCTCTTGCTGGATGAGGAAAGCAGGCAGATGCAACAAGATTGTGCTGCAATTTGGATTCTCATCACTACCGAAATCCTCGAACTGGAAAGTTTGAGCGATCCACAATTTTTGGACTTTTCCGAAGATACGGATAACTACACATCATCCCCTACCTCTCTCCAACGCATTCACGAGCTCGTGACTACCCACGGAGACAGTCAATACTGTTGCACCTACTTAGCATGGACGTATGTCCTGTCTCGCTTGCACTCGAAGGCTGCAGAAATCAAGGAGCTTCCACCCTCATACCAAACCTTCTTCGACGCCATATCACAGCGCCAGAATCGTGAACCACTGCATGTCCAAATGGCAAAAACATGTCTTGAACCAGAAGCTGGGCTGTTCAACCTCCTCGGCAATCTTCTTACAAACTCCCCTTTGTTCGTTACCGCTGTCTCTTGGAGGACTGGCTCATCTATATCAGATCCCAATGCAGTCGCGTTCCGCTCTGTCTTGAAGGGTTCGTTTCTCCTCATGAACTTTCAACGTCTTAGCTAACCTTGCCCTCGACAGGATTCATCATGGCGATTGTGGAGCTTGTCCCCGTTGAACTTATTCCAGAATTTGACGCGTTAGTCGAAGTGTGGATAGCACTCTTCGGCAGGAGTGAGAGTTCCTCGGTTTCAGGCATATGTCGGCAATTCTGGGAAGCAGACTTTCGTACCGGAATTGCTCGAAGAGCCATCCTCGACGTTGCACGACAAAGGTTTCCCATACAAGTCAAGCCTCTCACCCGCCTTCTCCGTGCCATGACGGGATCTGGGTTCCTCGATACAGACTCGCTATCCACTGCGGACTCTTCTCACGAGGGCGAGGGTCTCAGCGAAGAACGCAAGGACTGTGATACTTGCGTTTTCCACTACCTGTACAAGCTGCCTACGTTTTCTCAGGTCTTGCCTCTCAGTGCCTGCACTGGCGCACATGCCATCTATGAAAGGCAGCCCGAGCGATATGGTTCCTCTAAAACAAACTCTGGTCCTACGTACCTCAATCTCCGGCCCATCAGACTTCCTGGTGGATCCGTCCTTCCAGCGAAGTCAACAGGGAAAGTGCTGAGTGGAGATGGGGCCGACCATGTTGTCGTTTGCTGGCAGCATGAGCACTCTGGTTGGAAGGTCATTCTGGAAATATTGACGGACTATGTAAATCGGAAGAGGATGGACTATGGCTCCGGAGGGACTTACCGGGATGTTTCTTTTGGTCGACGGGGAAGTGCACAAATAATGACCTTACAGATCGGAGACATTGGAATGGAGAGGGACAGTCATGGAGACGAGGACATGATTACTGACGTGCTAGATCTTGTGCGGAGCGTCATCCGAGATAACCCTCAACAAGCTGCAGAGCTCATGTTCTCTTTGGAGGATGGGGAACCTGTGGTAGCCCATACCATGACCGAGTCACAACCACCTGACCTAGTCCAGCTTACGACTATGATTTTGGAGGAAGCTCTATCGCGTTCAAATGGGGGTGCTAAGTCGCCTTCGCGCATAAAACTCATCACATCCGCAATAAGCGTCCTTTCTGCCCTCCTTGCCATTCCAAACTACTCCGGTCGCGTCTGGCTATATATCCGCTCTACAACGACGTTATTCGGGTCAGATAAAGTGCATGGGTTTGCCTCCGCTGCGTTGACAACAGAGCGCGCAACCGGGCAATACACGATGACTCTCGCGCTACTTCACCTGGTGCAGCAACTCTTTCGTGAGGCGTCAACTTCCATCGTCCCAGATAATGTTCGACTTCAACAAGTGAAGGAGGAAGTTCTGCTTCGTGCTGCTCGATTTGTGCACATCGAGATATGGATAGAACACCTGGGCTGGAAATATAACCAGCTAGGAGACCGCTTCGAGATTGGAAAACGTGTAACTTCGTTTTACCTTGAAGTCCTAGAGCATGCTCCACCTTTGCTCGAGGAAAGACCGTTTGCAACTTTGAGCCAGTCGGTTGCAGATGCTCTCCTCTTCAAAGCTACGACGTCGACGATTAACCCTCTGGTCTCATCTGTAAGCTCTGGGGCACATGTCCTCCGAATGCTGGCCGCGGCTCGACGCCAGGGTGACATCAGCCGTTTGGTTCTTCTCCTTGCATACCACCTCCGTCTCTGCCGTTTGATACTCACCTACAAGTTGAGAACTGACATGGCATCCAAGCCATGTCTTCTGGAACAAGCTCTCTGTGCTCGTGTTACTAGCGGACCAACTACGGAGCAAGGCCAAATGAAGCATGACCCAATCAACGTCTTGGCCAGCTACGTCAGCGATCGTACAGTACATACAATACTGCCAGTGGAAGCAATACGACTCCTGACTGCTCTCGGTGCATCTCTTTCCTGTGCTTCCCCGTCTCCCCCTACAATCGTTGGCCATCTTTCAAACCCCGAAACCACTGTCGCTCTGTTTGTCCGTATTATTTCACATCCATACGACGAACTTGCCCTCCGCAATGGGATTTGGAACTTTATTTCCCTGGCTGTGGACAAAGAACCGGCCCTTTCCGGTCTCTTCGTCACGGGAAAGTTTCGTGCTCCTTCTGATGTGAAGGCTTTGGAGGCGAAAGGTGACGACAAGAAGGCCGGAGATGAGGAGATGTACGCCCCTACAAGTGCTCTTGAAGCCGCTCGGGATATGCTATTGACCTGGAGAGAGCTGTGGGAAGCCAACCCGCAGCTCCTAGCATCCGTCTTTCGCTTTCTCAATGTTGTTTGGGAGCATGCCTTTGAGCATATGGCTGTTCTTCAACCACTGCGGAGTGATGCAGATTTCTGGGATCAAATTGTGTCTGCTGCATGCACAGAGGTTGGACCTGCTCCCGACTATGAGATAATCGAATCCACAGTTTTTGATGAGGCGGCGCGTTCAAATCACCATGAAGCGATTGCAATGCATGCGTATCGCACCCTTGTCAGGTCATTTGCACTCCGCATTGTTAGTCTCGATATCGGCATACATATCCAGTTGAATGGATCCGAACCTTCTACCAAAAAGCCCGAAAGCTACCTTCGGATTCTTCCTCAATTAAAATCTCAAGACGAGCTCACTGAGCTTCTTGCGGAGGCTTCCCCAAGTTCATTCGCCCCCCAGCTCCACGATTCTATCATAGAGCACATGAAGAGACATTTCCCTGGACTTACCCTCCAACAACTGGAATTGCAGGAGCCTGTGACTGAACGCGAATACGGCGATAGCTTTGTATTCAGTCCGACTCTGCTGAGAAGTCGACTACACGCTTATCCGCGCGACGATGGCATGGACGAGCCTGCTGACGTGGTAGAAAAGGAACTGTTGTCTATTAACCTGAACCTCTCGCTGGCGCATTCGCAGACGGCTCTGGCTGAAGCTTGGGAGACGTTACTTCGTCGGGTCACTGCATACCTTCGAAGCGATGATACAGTCAGGCCCATCCTGTTATCAATAGCTGCAACCCTATCATACGACATTGCAGCGGAGCAGAGGTCAGGAGATATGATGGCAACTATACATGGGACAAGATTATCGCTCTTACTTTCGATACTAGAACTTGCCTGGTTCTCTTCGACAGACAAAGCCAAAGAAGTTCAATCGTTCTTGGAGGTAGTCCAAAACTTGCGGGGCATCATAACGAACGAGGCCCAATCACCAGCGAGATCGTTCCTTGGGCAATTTCCTATTCCTTTTCACCGAGCCCTTTTACAGATAATATACTTCGTTACAAAGCAATCTCGAAGCCTGATAGGGAGGCCGAAGGTCGTCAATGGAACGCAACGTGTAAACGTTACGATAACCGTAGAAGCGACTCTAACCATGGTAATCGACGCTCTTCGTGTGGTTTTCATTGCGGCCAGAAGCAGAAAGGATGTTGACCTTGATAGGGATATGGAACTGCTCGTCTCTGTCTTTGAGCAATGCACCCGAGCAGATCTTACCTCGTCGTCGGCGTTCTGGCTTGCAAGGTGCCAAGAAACTGATGTAATTCGCGCTAGCTTAGACTTGTACGTTCACATAGACCTTGTCGGTCTCTTGGATCTCCCTCTCCTTTTATCACGCAAACAACCACTCTACTCCCCTCACATTCTGCTCTTCCACATGGCCCTTGTTAGCAATGCCACTGCTGCGGAACGGTTCGCTAGCGAAGGCGTTCTAGCTGCTTATAGCAACAATTTCATCAGCGCCGCAATCAGCTCTGGGCAGATAAACGTCACACTTCCAGAATTGCCGACAGAAAGGAGCCATGCGCATGTAGCATATTGCGCAATGATATCAGTCGTTGCAGCTGTGATATCAGCTCTAGGACGCCAGAACCACTATTTCGACTCCGAGGCCTGCGGTTTCGTTCAGCTTTACGGGGACCAGATATCTCGTGCGCTGTCATGGACAATTGGAGACACTATTACCCTACCACTGGTCGAAGAAATTGAACAGGTTGTGAACCTCTTCTATGCTATCGCTGCCAGTGTCCCAGCAGCAGCCAACGTAAACCCAGCTGTGAACAAGGTTCTTCGGGTGTTCACAACCCACGCTCTCCAGCTTATCCAACAGTTGAACTACGCCATTACCCATCCAAACCATTTGACGAGCTTGTTTGAGCCCGTAACAAACGATGAGCGGACACTGTTCGAGAAAGCTCCGCCTTCTGGTGGAGACCCTCTGAAACGCCCTCTGGTAGCGCATCTCATACATCGGCTATTCAGGCTTTCCAGCAATATCATTGGGACGCTTGTTTGCATCAGTAGGGCGGACACTGTGCTTTCAACCTCTCAAGAAGATTGGCCGATCAGTGAAGCACTCATTGTTCCTGTACGATCTGCGCTTGTCATTGTCAACTTTGTAACTAACCTACTTCCATCTAGCATTCCAAGATCGTTGTAGGAGAACCCGCCTCCCTCGGGACACTCCTCGAGCTGGGGAATTGCACCCTCGATGTACTGCGTGACCTTGTCAACCGACCTGCAGGGCAAAGTATCAGCAGAACAGCCTCGCTTCCAGGCACATACTCCACGCCGTTGGACGTGCGACAGGGTGTCATTACTGCTCGACGGAATCTTGAAGGAGTTCTCCTGTACTCCGTTACTCAACTTGCGATGTGGCTGTCCAAACCAGAGTTTGATACAACCAGCGTAGGGGATGGAGAGGCTGAAGAACAACGTGTCCATAATCATAATCACGGCATGATGGATGTTCAAAAAGCCGACGCCCCTATGGGGGCGAAAGAGCGTCATCGAGCAGGAGCAGGGCGACCGGGGATATCAATGGCTGAGAGGTTAAGGAGGGGTATGACGGGGGAGATGGCAGGGGATCTGCAATCGCTTTTGAACAAATCCAAACCAGTGATAGCGAAGAGCGCCACAGTACTAGGGAAGGAGCCCGTGGACGTTACACAGATTTTGCTGAATTTTCTTCAGGAGCGGGTTAGCGCGCCATCGTGATGTATTTACTATCTAACTTTTTCAATCGTCTTTTTTTTCTTCACTGCTTTCACGACTTGTACATAGAAAAAGTAGACTATTTTTTGCTGTAATGCAATATCCTCATCGAGTAAGCACGTCCGCGCCGGATGGTGTAATAAGCACCATATGTTCGGCTTGAGCACTTCGAGCACAATTCTGAAGTCTTTTGTCAGGCATCATCACCAGGTTTAGCTGAATGATATAATTACCACTGTAGATGCCGTCCAACCGTCAGGGAATATCCAACCTATAGGGTTGTTTCCTTGAACTATCGATGGCTAGCCAGTACTGTGAGTCATGTTCACAAAGCATACAATGTGTACACACGCACCTCAATGGTAAAGCAGTGGCCTGGTTGCATTTTACCAGGTTCATTGTTCACTGCATCACACGTTGGTTCCAAATTGAAGTATAGAATGTCTGATAACGTACGATGGTGCAGAATGTGCGGTTCACTATGGAACACCTTGCCAATGCCATGGCCGGTGAACTGGGATGAGGTGGAATATGGGTGAGGTTTAAGGAGATTGTGGATTGCTTCTCCGATGCCTTTGAACGGCAGGCCGGGACCGCAAGCTTTGATACCTGCTTCGAGGGCGAGGTTGGTGAAGTGTACGAGTTCGCGGCCTTGTTGGTCCTGGGTATGTGATTTGGTTGGGTAGAACGGTTGAAAGAGAGAACAAGGGGCTTACGACTTCGCCGACGAGGAAAGTCTGGGATGTATCCCCGTGGTATCCATTTAAGTAGACGGTGATGTCAATATTGATTATATCTCCATTTTCGAGGGGTCGGCTGGGTTCGGTTCAGTGTTAACATCTAGTGAAAGCTTGACGGATTGACTCACTCGTCTGGGATTCCGTGGACTAGGATGTTGTTAACGCTGATCAACATATCAACCTATGTGTTATCACCACCACGAGACAAGCCACCTTGTACAGCACGACTTTGGGAAGCCGTGATACCTCAGCGGCGAAGGGTACGCGGAATGCGAGAGAATATACTCGTGCACCTCCTTGTCAATAGCGTCCGTCGTCACTCCTACCTCGAGAATTGAATAAACACATCAATGAATTCACAGTTACACATCGTCAAATTACAATGGGGACATACCTTGACCAGTGTCCCAGCGAACTCTCTAACGTTTCGAGCCAAGCGTGCCGCATCTCGCAGCTTGGCCTCCTCTTCACCTCCAAGTTCGATCTTTCCGTTACCCTTGAGTTCTTTAGTTGGCGGCGGCACCGAAGCATAGTAAGGTCGTTCAATATGTGACGGAACAGGCCGGAGTGGTTGGATGTGGGACACGCCGAAGACGAAAGGTTCTTCTGGGAGGATGACGTTGTAGTTGCCAAAGTCCTCAGCGTCGTCACTGAGAGCACAGGTGGTGGCGGTGGAGACGCAGCGCCGCGTCTGAGTTCGTTGGAGAAGAGAACGACCTAGTAGTAAGCGGCGGGTCAGTCGCAACATGTGGACGCGGTTGTAGACCAAGGGGCTGCGAGCGGAAGATCCCGAGAAATGCGACTCCCTTCGTCTTGTCCCATCAAATTCTCAAAGGAGCTGAATACAGGGTCCAATATATCGGGCAGGTAAGACTAAATCAAGCCAGCTTCACTTCGATATCATCCGCCGCAAAGCCTGGTTCATTGCTCATCGCTCCTACCCACCGTAGCATACCACTGTGAGTCAAAACAAGTAGACTTGCTGCGCTTCGTAGTAGCTGTGCCGCAGTCAAAACAAGTAGGGTTAGTCACCGCAGCGTTGAGAAGAATCCGTATAAATACCACGCAAGACAGTATTCCCAGCTGCAGACACCCCAGAACGAAAAGTTTATCAAATATATCGACACCATGAGCCGCCGAGAAGCAAAGATTTATACCGCTTTACCACAATCTCCCACTGAGACGGTACAATTCTAGATGCCGTTAGGTGCTTCCGTCAACTACACAATCTTCCAAGAAATCGGAACCAGTGAACGTTATACTGGAAGAGGATGTCGAAGACGACGACATCTACGTGGAAGAGGAAGTTGCGATGGTGGAGTCATCCACAAGAGAATCCCGAAAAAGATCGATATCGATCCAATCAGCTTCTCGAGATGAATCCCCCACAAAACGGCATCAAGGCTTATAGAATAGTGTTTCTACAAATAATTGGACAGTTACTATAAGTTACACTCTGTGTCTAGTGTTACCGCGAATACTACCAGTCTATCGCATTACGCACAGCGTTACTATGCCCTACCAGCACCTCGGCGCACCCTACGAGTCGGCGGTCACTGATCGTCACGAATTTTGGCTGGACAAGTGTGATGTTGCGTGACAACTTGGAAAACGAGAGTCACGCTTGTCCAGCCAAAATATGTGACAATCAGTGACTGCCGACTCGTAGGGTGCGCCGAGGTGCTGGTAGGTCATAGTATCTTCGCGCTGATTTGGTCTCACCTATCAGACCCTAGATTCAACTCCTTTGGGACTTTGATGGGACAAGACGAAGGGAGTCGCATTTCTCGGGATCTTCCGCTCGCAGCCCCTTGTTGTAGACTTTGACAACTTGAATCAACTTCAATCTTCTCTCCAGCTTCTCTGACTGATTCCTGTAATGCTTACGATTTTTTTTTGTTCTCCGGGTTGGGAGCATGCAGTGACGGATGATGGCTATATTGAAAATTCACATTTGAATTCAAGCTCTTCAAAGCTTCAAAGTTCATACATACACAGTACCGTCCAATTCTATTGGCAGATGCAAACCAGCTGTGAAAGGAATCGCTCTGCAGAACCTTCCTTCTATCACATCATTCACTCCGTTGTTGACAACGTTGACAGCTGAAAAAGTACATCTGGGTGGGCCAAAAACAAACGCCTACTCAGTCTCGAGTGACAGAGAGTATAGTGCATACGCGCGACCAAAGGTCCGTTCATACCTGCACTTCTATGACATACTTTCCACCCTCCTTAAACTTGACAACCTCACCATTATGACATGTCCACGGCATATCCATCATCTCCTTCATCTCCTTCATATTCGGGCATGCTTTCAATATCTCTCTAGCAAGTTCCGGCGTCATTTCCAGGCCCTTTGTGGGTGGCCATAGGTATATGCCCTTGATCGTTGTGAGGCATGGCCAATTGGCAAGGAAGGGTAGCCAGAGGGTATGGGGGGTTGGGTTAGAATACTAGCGTATGCCAGTCAGTATAATGTTATGATGCCTCTGAGGGTCAATAGAGTTTGAAGGGGGACATACAACAGATCTGATCAGACATCGATGTATCGATAGAGATTCCAAGTTTGGGGTTAACTTTGCTAGTGCCTCGAGCTGCTCCAATTCTGTGACGTTCCAAAGAGATAACGATTTTAGATGTTTCATCTCTTTGAGCCTAAAAGCGCGTTCCAGTCTGGTGTTGTCATCTTCATCTACATATGTGTTCTCCAGCGGAAGTTCGCTCCACGTGTCAAAACAAGCCATTGGAGACTCAATTTCAACCTCAGGCGCATCCCAAACACGCGGCTTGACAGCCGCAAGTTCTCTAATCGTCGAGTGGTCTGGAACACCACACAGAATAGGACGGGCCATTTTGGGGTGAACAACGAGATGTGTAAGATTCGGTAGGGCACCCTTTTTCAAGCCTGTCATATCCAATTCAAAGTTCTGTGCGCGCTCGTTGACAGAAAGTGAGAGATCCGCAGCAATAGTTCGGAGTGTGGGGTGTCTATTCAAGAACAGCGTGATGACTTGTTTATTAACAACCACATCGCCAAGTTGGAGGCAGGTTAGTCGGGGCCATGTGATCCCTATGAGAATGGGGGAGATATCGGTGAATAGGCGCCGTCCATGGCCTGCGTGGAAGCGGCGATCGAATATCTCTAGCGATAGGAACTATATGAAGCATGATGGATCAAAGTCGGCAATGATGGTAGAGGCTAGTATGAGACCTCACCTCAAGATCTGAACATGAGTGCAGGAATGCTTGCAATCGATCAGTATTGATTTTAGGAGCCGAACCATCGTCTTCCGCTGGTGTATAGCACAGCTTCAACTCTACATGTGTGAGGCTCCGAAGGGTATACATCTACCGAAATGGTTTTTCATAGACATAAAATAAAGGTATAGGAACACGTACGGAACTATCAAAGACAGACCAGGTACTTGCAGGAATCACCATTTGGCCTCGCCCAATATTCATGACTATCAGTTTCTTCACTTGGGTGTGGTTCCTCAACGCAGTCCAAACATCTTCTGAGTAAACTTCAGGCGGGGCATCGCTACTAGTAGATGACTGCAATCCAATCGACGGCAGCACCTTTTGTCCCTCACTGATCAAAGGAGCCACACGATGCCAACCAAAGCTCTCAAGGTTGACGAGTACTCGTAGAGCCTGGATCAACAATCTTTCAGATTGCTCCACGTCAGCCTTGGTTATTCTTCGTGGAGGCACTGCGCTCCGCAAATCAGGGATAAGAAGCCGTTCCATTTCCTTCTTAACCAACAGACTATGCGCATTGTCCTTTAGGATCACGAGTTCCCGCACCCTAGACGCCAATGATGGGTTCTCCGCCAGGTACATCCAAAGCGCGTTGTTTCCCAAGTTCATCCTGATAGAACGATAGCGCAGTTCTGGCATGCCAAGGCGAAATAGATCACTGCTGGTAAGCGCCACTGCGAGGAGGTCGGCCGGGGAAGATATGAACGTCAGGAGGTGGGCGTAGACATCCTCGTTCAGCGCCGTGGCCATTGTCGAGTTATCCGTCGCAGTTTAAGTGAAGAGCCGTTTGAAGAGCGTGGGGGTTGGTAGGGGGCAACGAAAGGATCCTAGGCCTCCACATCGATGAGTAATGAGAGGTAATGAGGTCAAGGTGAGGCAAGATGGCCCTGACGACCAAACAAAAGTGCCAACTTGGCAGCGATCTGAGAAACAGAAATTACTTGGATAGGAAAGTTCTACAGCCCATGTGTATGAGAATCCGGAGAACGTGAGAGGAGTAATCAGGTCTTATGGAATCTGCAGTATGTTGACAATCCTGTCTGTGAAGATTAAGATTAGCTTGAGACTAGGGTGGAGTGAGTAAAATGCGCACCAGAATCTTGTTCGTTTGAACTGCGTATGCCAATCTTCTCAAAGTCCATGCTGTAATCCTGCGTTGGAGGGATATGTTCCAAGGGTGCGAGTGCGCCAGTGTGGGCCAGGCGGAAGGGTACGCGGAATGCGAGAATATACTGGTGCACCTCCTTGTCAAATTTCAATAGCATCCGTCGTCACTCCTACCTCGAGGATTATCAATGAACTCACAGTTATATATCGTCAATGGGGACATACCTTGACCAGTGTCCCAGCGAGTTCTCTGACGTTTCAAGCCAAACTCGCCGCGTCTCGCAGCTTTGCCTCCTCTTCACCTCCAAGTTCGGTCTTTCCGTTACCCTTGGGTCCTCCAGTTGGCGGCACCAAAGCATAGTAGGGTCGTTCGATATGTGATGGAACATGTCGGAGTGGTTGGATGTGGCACACGCCGAAGACGAACTCTGGGAGGATGACGTTGTAGTTGCCAAAGTCCTCAGCGTCGTTACTGATGTATTGAAATTTCACTATTGAATACAAAGGATATACATACAGTGGAGTCTGGCATGGCGGCCGTTTTTGGGCCATAGTATACACACAAATTTTGGGTGCTGCCTAGACGTGATATGGCTTCAATTCTACTGGCAGATGCAAAATGAATGAATTGCTCTGCAGAACCTAATACTTTGTTGTGGACACGAGCTGAAAGAGCACATTTGAGTAGGGCATAAACAAATGCCCTACTCAGTCTCGGCGAGCGACACATACTTCATTTGAGGGCCCGTTCACTCCTGCACAGTCGCATACTTCCCACCCTCCGTAAACTTCACAACCGCACCATATATCCACGGGATCTCCTTCATGTTTGGGCATGCCTTCAATATCTCTTTAGAAAGTTCTGGCTCTATTTCCAGGTGCTTTGCTCCATCTTGTGGCCATAGACATATCCCCTTGATCGTCGTGAGGCGTGGCCAATTGGCAAGGAAGGGTAGCCAGGAGGTATGGGGGGTTGGGTTTTCATACTAGCGTATGTCGGTCAGTATGGTGTTGGTATGATGCCTCTGAGGGTCAATAGAGTGCAAAGAGGGACGTACAATGGATGTGATCAGATCTTGAGGTATCGATAGAGATTCCAAGTTTGGGGTTAGCTTTGCTAGTGCCTTGAGCTGATCCACTTTTGTGATGTTCCAAACGGATAACGATTTTAGATTTTTCATCTCTCTGAGACTGGGAGCGCTTTCCAGTCTGATGTTCTCATCTCCGTTCGCCAGCGAAAGTTCACCCTGGCACGTGTCAAAATCAGCATCCCAATCACGCGGCTCGACAGTCGCGAGCTCTCTAATCGTCGAGTGGTCCGGAACACCACACAGAATAGGACGGGCCATATCGGGGTGGACAGCGAGATGTGTAAGATTCGGTAGGGCATCCTTTTTCAAACCTGTCATATCCAGTTCAAAGTTCTGTCTGCGCTCGTAGACAGAAAGTGAGAGCACCGCCGCAATAGTTCGGAGTGTGGGGTGCCTATTCAAAAACCGCGTAATGATTGGTTTATCAACAACGACGTCGCCAAGTTGGAGGCAGGTTAGTCGGGGCCATGTGATCCCTACGAGAATGGGGGAGATATCGGTGAACAGGCGCCGTCCATAGCCTACGTAGTATAAGCGATCGAATATCTCCAACGATAGGAACTATATGAAGCATGATGGATCAGAGTCGGCAATGATGGTAGATGCTAGTATGAGACCTCACCTCAAGATCTGAACATGAGTGCAGGAATGCTTGCAATCGATCAGTATTGATTCTAGGAGGATAATTGTCCGAATCATCGTCTTCGGTGACAACTTCCGCCTCGTTCACTGGTGTATAGCACAGCTTCAACTCTACATGTGTGAGGTTTCGAAGGGTATACATCTACCAAAATGGTTTTTAATAGACACAAAATGAAGATATAGGAACACGTACAGAACTATCAAAGACAGACAAGGTCCTTGCAGGAATCATCTGGCGTTGCCCGATATTGATGACTATCAGTTTCTTCACTTGAGTGTGGTCCCTCAACGCAGTCCAAACATCTTCTGAGTAAACTTCAGGCGGGGCATCGCCACTAGTAGATGACTGCAATCCATTCGACGGCAGCACCTCTTGTCCCTCATTGATCAAAGGCGCCCTGCGATGCCAACCAAAGCTCTGAAGGTTGACGAGCACGCGTAGAGCCTGGATCAATAATTTTTCAGATTGCTCCACGTCCTCGATTATCCCTCCTGAAGGCACCGCGCTCCGTAAGTCAGGGATAAAAACCCGTTCCATTTCTTTCTTATCCAACAGACCATCCTCGTTTAGGATCACGAGCTCCCGCACCCTCGACGCCAATGTTGGGTTCTCCGCCAGGTACCTCCAAAGCGCGTTGTTTCTCAAGTGCGTCCTGATAGAGCGATAGCGCAGTTCTGGCATGCCAAGGCGAAATAGATCACTGTTGGTAAGCGCCACTGCGAGGAGGTCGGCTGGGGAAGATATGAACGTCAGGAGGTGGGCGTAGACGTCCTCGTTCAATGCTGTGGCCATTGTCAAGTTAGCCGTCCCAGTTCAAGTGAAGCTCTGTTTGAAGAGCTCAGGGGGCAACGAAAGGTCCCTACGCCTCCAGATCTATGAGTAACGAGGTCAAGGTGAGGCGGATAATAAGATGGCCCTGACGACCAAAACAATAAGAAAGCTCTACGGCCCACGTGTATGGGAATTCGTAGTGACATGCCCTCCGTACCAACTGACAACAAGGTGAAGACTCGTGGAGTCTCTAATACAATCCGCCCATGCAGTAGAAGCAACGACTTGCTTAACAGCTCTGACGGCCTCCAGCAAAGCAGGAATGTTGAATGCGAATACCGTTGTCGAGAAGTGTGGATTAGCCATTTGGCAAAGGGATCGAAACGGCCAATCGCAGATTTCCACTCCTACAAGTCTTCGCCCTATGGAATAATCACTCTGTGTTGCTCATCGAATCCCATTCTTTCATCGCGTGAATAGGGCAGGACATGGATAGTCAAGACGATTGGAAAATGTTCGGGAGCAACGCCGCAATCGAGCTCTCCAGGCTTTTCGAAGTTACCAGTGACCAACGCTGCCGCGATCCCTCGATGGGTTGCGCTCTTGGCCATGCTTTCAGGAGGCTTCAACTTGAGGTGAATTGGCAGTCACGTTGAAGACTCCCATGAGAAGGTGTGTAAATCGGCGATTTCAGTGTTTTTTAGAGGCATGTCGGCAAACAGACACGAAGATTGGAGTAATCAGGTCTTGAAGAATCTGAACTACGTTGCAATTGTTGACGTAAATGACGCTCTGTGAAGATTATGATTAGCTTGAGACTAGTGCGGAGTGAGTAGAATGCGCCCCAGAACTTTGTTCGTTGAATTGCGTATGCCAATTTTCCAAAAGTTCATGCTGTGACCCTGGTGCGTTGGAAGGATAAGGTTTACGGGTGCGAGTGGGCCAGCGTGGGCCAGGTGGAAGGTCACAGAAGGTGGCCCGGGGCTGATCTTGGTGACGTTAATTGTAAAACTGGGAAAGAAGGGGGAGTTCAGCAGATGAAGCAGCGGATGGAGGCCGGGAGAAGGGGGAGGAAGTGCATGCAGCAAACGCGAAATAAAGCCTTACGAAGGCGACAAATAAGCCCACGGGAGTGAGATCGTTGGCCACGCGATCCTGCACTGCCTTCGTCGGGTTGCACATCGTCAGAGACGCGATTGCCCGCGTCCACGTCACTTCAGACATAAGCGACGCTCAGGATGGTCCCCAGTTCACTGGTTGAAGCAAATAGTGGGGTGGTTCGGACTTTCAATGATGGGTTTATGAGTTGCTGAACAAAGATGTAGTTGATGAGACTGTTGCTGTCCGGTGTCAATGTGTCCTGTTGACATACCTAGGCAGAGTCTTCGGTTCTCCCTCTCGAATCTTGTCCTTCATAAAATGTGGACATTGATTGGACCGCTGTGGTGTATGATGTCACAGGAACGACCACACGTTATTCAGCGCTCCGTCGAGTACGGAGGACTATGGAGGATTGGCTATGACGGTGTGGGAGAATGAGAAGGTCAGCTGTGGACTCACTGCATAGCCTCTCAACACGCTTTCCTTCCGTACCATCACTATCATCACTCAACTCAAAGCACGCTTCTATCGTTTGCGATGTCTAGTCAACCTAAAGAGCCTTTACGCAACCCATTTCGTGGTCTAGTACACGAGGAGTTAACTCGCTTGAACCCTTCCTCCGCGAACACCAGCGTTTTGAATGCAGAGCACCCGAGCGCTACCTCACACATCTTCGCGACATCCCCAGCCATCGGGAGGGCGGATGAAAGAACGACTCAAGATATTAGTGAGAGATCTCATTTATTCTACCCATCAAATGTTGGAAGTCTCATCGCTTGACATTTTGTAGCCAGCAAGACTGGCAGCCAAGAAATTCTTGAGCCTGTCGAACCTCTCTCCACGCTCGGTTTGTACTCCGCAGAGCCTTTTTTTTGTAGTGTTAATAGCTCTGACATAGGCCCGGTTACCTTGCTTGCCCCTACTGTTGGGATGAGCTCAGACAGTAAGATATATACATTTAATTAACCTCTCACTGAAAGTTAATATACCATATTGCATTTCTAGTGAACCTATCTGTTACTAACTATGACGAGATTGGAAATTTGAATACTGGTATGAACAAAGGTTGGTTTGTTGCTTCATCTACTTTTGCCAAAATTTCATCTGTACTTGAACCAGGTGTTATCATTCAACAAGTCCACCAAGGTAAGAAACAAAAGTGGTTTCACTCTGAGCTCAGCAATATTTGTGTTTGACAGTTGTGGATTTTGGTATTCAAATCACTTTGAAGACAATTAAAGATGACCAATTGAGTATATTGACCTTCATTTGTAGATGATTTATTATAATTGATCTCTTTACTTTTCAGAGTGGAAGGTTTATCAATGGCTTTCTCCAGCTGATAGCTCCAGGAATTTTCATGATGCATATGAAATCCTGGAAAGACAGCCTAATGCCTGTTCTTGGTTTCTGAATAGTGAGAAGTTTTCCCAATGGTTGATCAAACCTGGCTTTCTTTGGATTAAAGGAAAATGTAAGCTATCTTACATATTGGATGATTTGGAGCTACATACTCACTGATTTCAAGCTGGTTGTGGTAAAACTATTCTGAGGTCAGCATCTTGGTTATTTTCATAAAATTATATTCAAAGCTTTATCAGCTCTTCTATTATTGGTCATCTCAAGAGAGATACTTCTCTTGCAACTGCTTATTTCTTTTTTGATGGAAGGGACTCTCAAAAAGAGCTACAACTTCATGATAAGCTGATTTGATCACTGATTCGGCAATTTTCTTCGAAATGTGGGGATGGTTTGCCTGAAGTCTTGGCAACTCTGTATCATAACTGTGGAGAAGGCTTTTCTCAGCCATCTATTGGTAATCTTCAGGATACTCTGCAAGTGATCCTCTGTGGCTTTAACTCAGCATTTGTTGTTCTGGATGCTCTGGATGAATGTACTGAAAGAGTGAAATTGCTCAACTGGGTTCAGACTATTATCTTGCAGAAGGAAAAATATTTGCAGCTGCACTTGGTAGTCACTAGCCAGCCAGAAAAGGAAATCAATGATAGGTTTCACTTGCTTGATGTTTGCTGTGTTGATATGGTTACAGAAGCTGGAGACTATGATCTTGTAGCCTATCTTGACTATCAACTTGAAAGTAACCCTGATTTGAGAAGATGGGATCCAAAAACAAGAGAAGAAGTCAAGTCAAAACTGATTGAGCAGGCAGATGGAATGTATGTTTTTAATATGAAATCGGAGAGCAGGCTCATACTCAACTATTTTAGGTTCCGATGGCTTGCATTACAGCTCAATGAACTAACAAAGTGTCTAACTCAAGACTCAGTTGAGCAACAGTTAAAGTCTCTACCTCAGGGTTTAGATGAAACCTATGACCGGATTTTGCTTGGAATTGATAAACAATATCACAATCACACTAAAACACTTCTTCAATGGTTGGCTTTTGCTGTCTGTCCAATGACACTTGAGGAACTAGCTGAAACTCTTACTGTGGATCTTCATGGTGAGAATGGGCCACAGTATCAATCTTCTAATAAACTGTGGAATATACGTGATATTTTCAAGACATGTTCTGGGCTTGTTATTCAATCAAAAGGTGTGTCTCAAGCTGTGCTATATCAAAATACATACTCAAGATGAAACAGATACACTCAAACTTGCTCACTTCTCCATTAAAGAATACTTGATTTCCGCACATATCCAGAAACATAGCCAGAAACAAATCGCCCAGTTTGGTCTCAGCAAAGGGCCCTCTCATTCAGTTATATCTAAGATCTGCCTGGCATACCTCTTGCAATTTAGTAAACCTCAGCTGGATAAGAATATAGAAAAATCTTCTCCTCTTGCAATTTATGCAGCAAAAGAATGGATTTTTCATGTAAAATCAAGCACCCATGACAAATCTGAGCCATGTTCTTTGCTAGCATTGATGCTAAAACTTTTCACATCAAATGACATGGCATTTGTTAACTGGGTTCAAATTTGGGATATAGATCAAGAGAACTTTGGTGAACGTAGCACAATGCTATTTAGGAGAAAAGCTTCTATTGCTGGACCTCTTTATTATGCATCAATGGCTGGTTTGAATGACATAGTGTGTAAGCTACTGGAGAATGGAGCAGACATAAACATACAGAAAGGAATGCTAGGCAATGCACTTCAGGCAGCATCATATAAAGGTCATGAGGCAACTGTAAAGCTCCTTCTAGCAAATGGGGCAGATGTCAATGCAAGAGGTGGAACCTATGAAACTGCACTTGAAGCAGCATCATTCAAAGGTCATAAGGCAGCTGTAAAACTGTTGCTAGAGAATGGGGCAGATGTGAATATTACTGGAGGAACAGGAATTGGATCTGCTCTTCATGGAGCATCACGACATGGTGATGAAACAATAGTGAAGCTACTGTTGGAGAAGGGGGCAGATGTAAATTTTACAGGGGGGGTGTATGGACAAGCTCTTCAAGCAGCAACATATGGAAATCATGGAACAATTGTGAACCTATTACTCAAGGAGGGTGCAGATGTAAATTTGCAAGGAGGGGAAAATGGAAGTGCACTTCAGGTTGCATCATTGAGAAGCGATGAGAAAATTGTACAGCTTTTGTTGGACAAGGGAGCAGATGTAAATGCACATGGGGGAAGGTATGGGAGTGCACTTCAAGCAGCATCGTTTAGAGGCAATGAGAAAATTGTAATGCTTTTGTTGGAGAAGGGAGCAGATATAAACATACAGGGGGGACATTATGGAAATGCACTTCAGGCAGCATCATTGAGAGGCAATAAGACCATTATGAAGCTGTTGTTGGAGAACAGGGCAGATGTGAATGCATAGGGAGGAAAGTACAGACATGTCCAGGTGGCATCAATTCATGGTGATAAGGCTATTGCTAATCTGTTGCTGGAGAAGGGGAAAGATGTGAATGTATTGGAAAAATAATGTAAGGATATACTTCAGGCAACAATGTGGCAAGAACAGAAAAATATTATCAAGTTTCTATGGAGAGCAGACAATACAAGATTATGAATGAGCCTCCTCAATACAATGTTGTACTAAATCTCATTAAAGCATGATCAAGGCTACTAAGAAACTACTTCAAAAAAAGTAGATGCGAACCAGAGCAATATGTTGTACATTTAGTAGTTCATATGATTTTGATTAATCAAATGCCATTCCAACAGTTCTTTCTCAAAAACTAATCAAAGGAGCTTGTTTAATTTACTGATACATGTTTTTCTCTGAAGATAAACCTAAGCATCCTTCAAATTGTCTGATTCTCTGCCTGACACTACTAATCTTGATTCATCTAATCTCTATAGATTGACAGATTTGCAGTAATTTCTGTTGTTATAATTTTATAGAGTATCTACTGACACCTTAAACAAGAGATGATCAGGCAGTCTAGCAAAGTGTTTGATGGATTCTGTGACAAAGGAATCATTTTTGCACCTTTATGTGATTAAAACCAACCTATGGGACAATTTCTTTTAAAGTGTGTTTGCCTATTGTGCAAAGGCGATGTACAAATATGAAGAAATTATTGTTACTATTTTTTTAATGAGTCTCAAGGTACATCAACAGGACAAAATGCTGTTAAGAATTCAGATTCACGAATGGAACAGATTATAGGAACAATTCAGTTTGTCCCTTCAGCACCAGGCAAAAGTTTTATTTTTAGCAATGCTACACCTAGAAAACACAGTTGTTGACAAATTAAAACAATAAGCACATGATTTGTGTGTGGTTCTTGCTCGGCATGTGATTTCCACCAGAGTACACCTTTTCCTGTAAATTTTTGCTTGGGGCACAATTATTTGAGGCTATAGGTATCCTCCCATGTATTTAGAATAGCTATATACTCTCTCCTTGCTGTGTAAATGACTCACAGACCTCAAAAGGCCTGGGATTCTCAGCTACACTGATACTAGGTCAAATTGTTTACTTTTTGCTGGGGTGCAAGTCTACTCATCGAGACAACTTAAAATTATGTCAGTCGTAGAGATACTGAGCTTGGAAGATAGAACTCGAAAGCTGCAAAACTGGCACGTGTGCCAACTTCGATGCAAATTGCAATAATAGAGTTAGGTAAGTAATAAGCAACATATGGTGGGTTTATACTAGGGGCAGTATACGTAACGTATCGTCCGAAATTTTGTGGAAACACATCGTTTTTGTCGCGGGATGGTGGGTGGTGGTAATGTTGGCAACAAGTAAGGTATGAATGGAATGCATAAGCGGGAATGATGGATGATAGATGAACAAGGCGGGAAGTCTGAAGGGGGAGGGAACGCAGAAGGAAGTAGTAAGGTAAGTAACATATGGAAGAATTCCAATCCACATCCGATAGTCTATTAATGGTAACAGTGGCGGGTGCAGTAAAATGCGGAGGAAAGAGAAAAGTGCGGTGGTGGTACATACAACAAGCGCAGATCCGAATAAATTTTAAATGGGTGGGGGGTGTGGGGGCATACTATGTTTCCGTTTCCATTTCCTTGCCTTCCAAAAACGCCACGAGCGAGTCCGCGACGAGGGTAGAATGGCTGACTGTCAAATCGTGGCCAGCACCATCGACGCTAATTAGTTTTGAGCGGGCACGGGTATCAGATGGCAGCATGCTTAAAATGAGGGGTGCGTATTTCGGGTGGACGGTAACGTCTTCTGTGCCCTGTATAATAATGGAAGGCTTTGGATGAATAAGAGAACGGCGATAGAGCGGCAAACGTACGTGAATGAGTAAGACGCGTCTGCCTTTGAATCCGTCGGATGAGAAAGCAGCCGCCTGCCCGCGTATGGGACCGTCGCGCAGGGAAGAGGAAAGAGCGGCGTTGTAACCTGGTAGGTGGGCTGATTGCAGTCTCACGATCTGGAAGAAAGATATTAGCTGAAGTCTTAGTAGAACAAGGTAACCACGCACCTCCGTAAGAGGGTTTGATTCAGCCCCTCGTGTGCTGTTGGTAAGACGTTGAAGGTATTTCTAAGTATCAAACGTAAGTGTAGGTGGGCTACAAGAGAAGAGGAACGCACTCGGACTGGCGTGCTCGAAGCAAGTGTTTGTATCAGTGGTGACGACATGAACTTTGCCGTGCGTGAAATGTCGCTGGTCTCCATCAACCCTGCAGAGGCGATGAGAACGACCTTGCCGTTGACAAGGTGAGGGAATTGCGCCGTGAAAGCCGCCGCAATGCCTCCGCCCATGGACACCCCGACGATCGCGGCCTTGTCCCACCGCAGGTGCTGCATGAGGAGCGCGAGTTGGATGGTGTACAGGTTAGGGTCGTAGGTCATCTGCGGCGCGTCGGAGTATCCCCGTCCATATAGATCTAAGAGAATGAGCAAACAAATTCACGCGGTGTAGTGGTGCCACACACCGTAGAGGAGTACTCGATAGCCACGCGACGCCAGCTTTGGCGCAATTTCCTTCCATATGATAGCGGGAATCGACAGTCCATGTATGAGAACAACCTGTTGAAGCTTATCAGATTATATGCGCGCGAACACGTCGACTGCGCGCACCTTCTCGCCCGTTTCAGGGCCCATTACCCAATATCTGACCTACGGGACGTGTCAGCACGCGATGAGCGAATCTATGCGCGGTACACACCCTGCCGTACGGGAACGTGGCGTACCCTCCCCCTGGGTAGTAGTTTTCAGGATAGATTGACCACGACTTTGAAGTCGCTGGCAGGCTTGCGAGAGATGTGTGCAGGAAGGTCGGCTCCGGGGGATTGGGGAATGCGGCAAGGAAGTAGGTGGTTAGCAGGAGCGGTGGAAGGATGAGCAGCGAGAGGGTCAGACATTGGTAAGGACTACTTGACACCATCGTAGTCGTTGTTGTGGAGTAGTAACTGATAACGCTGGTGGCCACCTCGAATTGTCGGTAGGGACAAGAATATCGCGTCACGTGTTAAACCATGTGTTCAGGCACGTCATGGCCAAGCAAATGCCAAATATAAGACACCCTAAATTTAAAAGTTACCCCTTCTCGCTGCGTCGGCGTCCCGACGAGAATATTCAGCATGCGGAGTTCAGATTGGGATTTGTACACACTTCAACACCAACCACCCGGCACCCTACTCCTATAAACCATGTCCACTGCAAAGTTCGAACGTGTTGTAACTTGTCGCAGTGCTCTCTGAGCTGTCCACCTCTGAATGGTATGATGCCATTGAGAAAGTGATTGCCATAAGGAAGGAGACAGATAGGCATAATCAATATCTGGAAGAGGCTGAAAGGAGTCTGCTGTGTAAGTTTTCATCTTTATTTTATATGATTGTCATGCTCATATCACATTGTTTGGCACAAAGGTATGTTATCAAGGCCATCTAAGGCCATCTTCCAACAGTTGTCAAGTTGCATCATCACCCCTCAATACTATGTTTGTTCAGGATATTGAAACTCGTTGGGATATTGAAAATATGGATTATCTTTGCATCCACTTGCTTTGAGGTTCTCAAATTTTGAAGACCAGTGTATTTGTGTATTGTCTCTGTATCTCTAGATTTTTAGAGACATATTCAAAGAATTGCATTCTTAAGACATGAATTTGTGGTTTTCATTACACCAGCCAAACAAAAGTATTGGAATGTTCTCTCAGATCCCTTCAGATCGGCTTGATTGTTTATTCTAAAACTTTCCAATTACATTAAAATGATATGTGAGAGTTCAGATACAAATTTCTAGAGACAGAGATGAAGTGCTGTTGGGCAGGAGTGCAAAATACAAAATTTGGCTCACAAACAGCTTTAAAGCGTGACATTTGCATGACATACGCCTGCCAAACTATCACCATCTTTCAGCCAAAGCCATTGTGATCTGGCGTGACAGCAGTTTCAATATCGTGATATTTTTGAACCCTGAGTACCAGATCGCCTCCGACAGCGAACACAACACATCTACAGTGAAAAAAAGTAGATATTCATATAGAAGACAAAAATGTACATCAATTTGTCAAAAAATCGAAAGGACGGGACAAAGTGGTGGGCCAACAATCGTGCAACACTGAAAAAGTTTCAATATCCTGAACAAACATAGTAGGGACTGTCACGGATAGGCTAATCCCGGGTAAACCTGAAATCCACCCATATTTGGGCTCAACTGATGGATTCGGGTAACTACCCGGACTATCCGCAGGTATCCATGGGTAAATTATATATTTTTAGACCTCTTTGGGATATTTTAAGTGTAGGCAATAAAAACTGCAGAATAGGCCAAAACCAGTGTTCCCCCAATATATTTGCTCTCAATTTCTAAGTTTGGTGATGGAATTGTACATCCATCATATGCATAAAACAAACTTACAATAGAAAAAGGGATCAGGTCCAAAAAATGAATGAA